TTTGTTGGGGGGGGCAGGCCTTTGGTTGGGGAGCAGAACCTCAGTTAGCTATGTATTTTTATTGATTTAGTGGGGCGGCTGCCCCTCCCTGCCCCGCCCCCGGCTATGCCCATGGCTGGGGGTGGAGGAGATAAGGCTCCAGCCCACCAGCTGGGTGTGTATCACCTAAGAGCAAAGGAAGTGTTATTCTTGCTTCAGAACTGCAATTTATACTGAAATCCATGTGGATTTGATAAATTGCTTAACAAAGACATACTCATACCATTACCCGACTAAGATTCCTTATAGTCGGTGACAGCCCTATTACAGAAGCAGTCTTCGGATGTCTGCAGCCTGTGTAAAAGGTGGAAAGAGGGCTGGATATTCATGCCTAGGTGCCAATTAGACTCTAGAAAGAGCTCTTTTTGTCCTCTTGCCTGGCTGATATGAATAAACAGGGCGAGAGGACTTTGCTTTTTTTCATAACTGATGCATGAAAGTACAAGGCAGCATCCTAACAGGGCTCGGAATGGAATGCAAAAGAAACTTCTGCGGCACAGATGTTAAGCAGACGATGAGTGCAAGTGCTGCAAGATCAGGCCTACAATAGGTCTCACTTAATTTTCTGCCTGTCGTCCGTGTCCTGTCATTCTGCCTGTCGTCCTGCCTAGCCATGTGATGGGCATGGCACAGAAGAATTGTTGTTGTTGTTTAGTCGTTTAGTCGTGTCCGACTCTTCATGACCCCATGGACCAGAGCACGCCAGGCACTCCTGTCTTCCACTGTCTCCCGCAGTTTGGTCAGACTCATGTTTGTAGCTTCGAGAACACTGTCCAACCATCTCGTCCTCTGTCGTCCCCTTCTCCTTGTGCCCTCAGTCTTTCCCAACATCAGGGTCTTTTCCAGGGAGTCTTCTCTTCTCATGAGGTGGCCAAAGTATTGGAGCCTCAGCTTCACAATCTGTCCTTCCAGTGAGCACTCAGGGCTGATTTCCTTAAGAATGAATGCGTTTGATCTTCTTGCAGTCCATGGGACTCTCAAGAGTCTCCTCCAGCACCATAGTTCAAAAGCATCAATTCTTTGGCGATCAGCCTTCTTTATGGTTCAGCTCTCACTTCCATACATCACTACTGGGAAAACCATGGCTTTAACTATACGGACCTTTGTTGGCAAGGTGATGTCTCTGCTTTTTAAGATGCTGTCTAGGTTTGCCAACGCCTTTCTCCCAAGGAGCAGGCGTCTTTTAATTTCGTGACTGCTGTCACCATCTGCAGTGATCATGGAGCCCAAGAAAGTAAAATCTCTCACTGCCTCCATTTCTTCCCCTTCTATTTGCCAGGAGGTGATGGGCCCAGTGGCCATGATCTTCGTTTTTTGATGTTGAGCTTCAGACCATATTTTGCGCTCTCCTCTTTCACCCTCATTAAAAGGTTCTTTAATTCCTCTTCACTTTCTGCCATCAAGGTTGTGTCATCTGCATATCTGAGGTTGCTGATATTTCTTCCGGCAATCTTAATTCCGTCTTGGGATTCATCCAGCCCAGCCTTTCGCATGATGGATTCTGCATATAAGTTAAATAAGCAGGGAGACAATATACAGCCTTGCCATACTCCTTTCCCAATTTTGAACCAATCAGTTGTTCCATATCCAGTTCTAACTGTAGCTTCTTGTCCGTGTCCTGTTGTTCCGCCTGTCGTCCTGCCTAGCCATGTGATGGGCATGGCACAGAAGAATAGGGGGAGCTCAAAACCCTGTGGACAATTTTAGTGCTATCAGGGCCGGCCCTACTGTTGGGCAGAGTTAGTCATCTTAAGCTGCAAATTTTCATGGTCAGAGAACAAACTGTCCATGTTAGTTAATTTATTAGTGTATTTTTACTGCCAGAGAAGGGGAGAGGTGCTTGTGGGATGTTCTGCCGTAGGTACCAAAATAACTTATGGCCTTGGGTATTATGCATCTTGACTTGGGGTATGTTCACATTTCTTCCTTAAGAGCACAGTGAAGTTGTTTTCCCCTAGTACATTTCACAACTCTTCCCCTCCCCTCCCCACCCCATCACATCATCAGCATGGCTTGACCAGTGTCAGATTCATTTCTGTTCATGTACGCACTGGGGGCATTAAGCGGGGTGGTCACCCATAAGCAAAGGTGTTCACACCTTGCCCAGAAACAAATTAAGAATGGCCTAAGAACTCCAGGAAGGATGCGGGTGGCGCTGTGGGTTAAACCACAGAGCCTAGGGCTTGCCGATCAGAAGGTCGGCGGTTCGAATCCCTGTGACGGGGTGAGCTCCCGTTGTTCAGTCCCTGCTCCTGCCAACCTAGCAGTTCGAAAGCACGTCAAAGTGCAAGTAGATAAATAGGTACCGCTCCGGTGGGAAGGTAAACGGCGTTTCCGTGCACTGCTCTGGTTCACCAGAAGCGGCTTAGTCATGCTGGCCACATGACCCGGAAGCTGTACGCCGGCTCCCTCGGCCAATAAAGTGAGATGAGCGCCGCAACCCCAGAGTCGGCCACGACTGGACCTAATGGTCAGGGGTCCCTTTACCCTTTACCTTTTAAGAACTCCAGCTAGTGTGAAGCTGGTTTGAGAAACAAGGCATCAGGCAGAAGTATCTGGTAACAAAGTCCAAGATACATATGCACTTTGGAGAACATGGTGCGACCACAGCTTAATAACTCAGCACTGAAAACACAGTGAATACACAGTCAATGGGAGTGTGAGCACAACCAGGGAGGGGGGCAGGCAGGATGCCTTTTCCTACAGTGCATCAGGCAGCAAAATGTGTTGGGTCGGCTTATTATGATGTTGAGAGAGAGAGAATGTACTAAAGAAACAACAACTCCATGGAAAAAGGGGTGGGAAGTCGACAAAAAGGAGAGAAAAAACGAAATTGTGTTTTGACTGTCTAGGTTAAAAATGTTGAAACTTAATAAAATATAATGGGGGGGGGAAGAGAGAATGTACCAATTTGCATTATGCTAGGCATACAGGTCCAGCTTCACCCCCCCCCCTCCCCAGGGTAGGAAAAACTAATGACAAAGAGTCAGCTATTTGCCTTAGGATATGCTTCAGACTATCAATTTCCCCTAATATGCCTCCTTTATCTTATTTTCCTTACATAAGATCGGAGATACATTCTTCTCCCCACCCCCACCCCACCCCCAGGCAACAAGAGTATTATGTTTAAAAACAATACAACACCAGTGGCCCTTCAGCACAATGAGAATTTATAAGTTTAGAGTAGAGCTAAGCAAAAGTTTCTCAGAAGACTTCCCCCCCACACACACCCCTGAGAAAATTTGTGATATTTTTTTCTTTTTCCCACGGGGGGGGGGGGAGGGAGGTAGAAGCATTTTGTAGACATTTCTCAATATATTTTCCACCATTTCTTTGCAGAATTTATCCTCCCCCTGGAGAAATTTGGTGGAACGGTTCCCCACAATTTCTCTGCCACCAAATGGTGGGGTAGATCTTGAGGGGCCATTTGCTCACAGCTGTAGTCTGGAAGGTTGTGGTCTCTCCTTCCTTGGAGGTTTTTAAGCAGAGGTTGGGTGGCCGTCTGTCGTGGATGTTTTAGTTGAGATTCCTGCATCGCAGGCAGTTGGACTAGATAACTCTTGGGGGGTCCCTTCCAACTTTCAATTCTATGACTCTATGGTCTTTCAAGGTGGGATCCTGTCCGACTATTGTGTGTCCCTGGTATCATCTAGATCAGAGGTTGCCAACGTGGTGCCCGTGGGCGCAATGGCACCCTTGAAGTCTTCCCACAGTGCCCATGAAACCTTAGAGCCTCCAAAACTAATCACTACTTCTTCTCCCAGGTCATGAGGTGGCTATCTTTCTCTTCCTGGAAAAGTACATAGAACTGAAAAAGGAAGGTGTAAGAGTGAAACTCTAGTCTTTCCCACTTCCTGTTTTAGTTTTATGTACTTTTCAGGGCTCTGATACATTTTTCTCAGGCTTTTACCCAAATCCCGTGGGAAAACAAATGCGTACACACACTTTCTCTCTTTCTGTCTCTTGGGGGAGACAGGAGAGAGAAGCGGATATGGAAGAGGTTTGAGAGAAGTGCCCACAGGAGGCAGCTCATGGAACTCACTCAGAAATCCTTAAAAGGCCTAAAAATTGGCAGTCCCTCTTCTAGATTATTGGTGTCTTAGGGTTGAGATAGGACAGGAATGTAGGGCAAGGGAACAAGTGCCGCTGGTGGAGTGTTCAACATACATTCGCATAACTGGATACGCTTTTTCAAGTCAGTTAAAAGAGTGTGAGCTGTGAGCTAAGGAGTGCTGGAGATTTTTGCACTCTTGCTCAGTTCAGCACTGTGCACACCCAACAAGTGCAGGCACTTATGGCAAGTCACAACGGGCCGAGATGTGAAAGGATTTGTGTTCATGCTATGTATATGTATGGTCTGGGAATGTCGTATGAGGAACTCCAACTTGAGCGAAAACAGGCATATGTGGTTGGTATGTTTGTATTTGCTTGCAAGCTAGACTGCAGCTTGACTGTGTATGCAGCTGTAACGTCAGTAAAAGCACTTGGAGGAACAATCTGGCCATTGACTCTCAGCTTAACTAACCTCGCAGGGCTGTTGTGCGAGGATGAAGCGGGGAGCAGAGAACTGACTCTGCAGGTAGAACATCTCTGTGCACAGGTGACACGCCACGTTAGGAAGGAAGAAGCGCTCGCTCACATCCACCTTCCTGCAAAAACCACCCAACGAGCGCCACAGGTATCTTCATTCACACGTTCAGGCGAAGCCCCGCTCTCGCGTGTCGCTGGCGAAAACTCCCCCTCAGCAGCCGCCACGCGCGTGCAGGGCGCGTGGCGAGTCTGGGGACGGGGGTGGGAGGATCTTGCATGCTGATAAGGTGCGCGTGTGCGTCCGTCCGCGCGGAGGGGGTGGGCTGGAGCGCTGACTGGCACCTCGCCACCTTCCCTCAGCGAGCAGGAGAGCGAGCGAGCGAGCAAGCTGCGGCTCCCTCAGCCGCGGTAGCGCCGAGAGGAAATCCGCGAAAGAGCTCCCTCAGCCAGTCGAAAAGAGGCGAAGCCGCTCGCTCTTTTTCTCTCTCTCGGGGAGCTGCCGCCGCCGGCGCGCTTCGAGTCCCAAAGTCGAACCGAAGTGGAGAAACGCGCGGGAAAGGCGAGCGGCGGCGGCGACCCTTTGGCCCGCCTGTCCCTTCCGCCACCCAGGGCAGCATGAGGAGGGGCTGCTTGCCTGCTGCCGCTTCCAGCGTCGGAGAAGGAGCGAAGGGACGCCGCCGAAGCCGAAGGAGAGGCGGGGAAGGCGCGCCGAGGAGGCAGCTCGCTCGTGGCCCCGCCGCGCTCTGAGGGGACGCCGCTCGCCGCCTTTTCTCCTCGCTGCTGTTGCCGCCGCCTCTCCTCCTCCTCCTCCTCCTCGCTGGGCGCGTGTCTGTCTGCCTGCTCGCTCGCTCGCTCTCCGGCTCCCTCGCCCGCGACTCCTTCCTTCCAAGGGGGGCGCCGGCTGCTGCTGCTCTTCGCCGCCGCCGCGCTGCATGGGGCGCGAGCGCTTGGCGCTTTCCAGATATGGTCAAGGCGGCGTCGGGGGTGGAGGTGGCGCTGCCGGCCGCGGCGGGCTCTCTGTGATCGCCGGCACCCGAGGAGGGGGGCCCGGCGGCGGGAGGAAGAAGCGGACCCGCTGAAGGAAGGCGAGTAGCAACAGCGGCGGCGGCGCTTGCCTACTCCTGCCTACAACCAGCCAGCCAGCCAGCCGGGGAGCGGCGGGCGAGCAACTCTGTCTGCAGGTAGGTAAGGAGCGGAAGCAGGAAGAGGCTTTTGTGTCCCGCCGACAGGGCTGCTCGGTGGCCAGGAGCGACCCGGCAGGAGCCTCCGCCGCCCCTCCGGGTGGGCCCTCGCCGCCTGCCGCGCGCGCTCTCCGGGAGCGGGCGGGCACCTTGCAAAGAGCGGCTGGCTGCATGGACGGAGGAGGGATGAATGGACCGGGAGGGACCGATGGCTTCTCCGTCTCCCCTCGGCTGGCTGGTGGGCAGCCATCACGCGCAGGCAGCACCTGTGCCGAGGACCCCACACCCATTGCAGTGTGCGCGGAAATGTGCCTTCTCGAGAGGGGAGGGGAGCACTAGCGTAACCGTGGGGTGGAGAGAGGGAGAGAGAGGGGGAGAGGGCGCTGGGCTCAAAAGCTGATCTTGCAAAAGCGGCGAGGGTGCCTGGCCAGGGGCTGTGGGGGGCTCCCGGGGAGATGTGGGGTGGGGAGATGCCCTTCCTCAGAGATGCTCAGAGAGAGAAACGAGTGATGGGGTGGGGTTGGGGAGGGGGCGCCAGGCGGGATGCTTAGGGATGCTTAAGTCTGGTCCTCCTCCTTAGGCAAGGTTCCCTATCCGGGGTGTGTGTGTCTGTGTGTGTTGCCCGCGCCTCTCCGCAAACACGCCCCCTTTGCCCACCCTCTCTCCCCTCCTCCCGCTGCTCCCTGCGTGGCTGCCCAGGGTGGGAACTTCCCAGGCACCTCGTGCTGCTTGCAGGGATCTCCCCGGCGACCGAGGGAGGGACCTGTTGCTGCAGAGGAGGTAAATATATATATATATTTATATATATTTAAAAAATCTGATTTCAGTATATATGAAGAAGGAGATTCTGCTCCGGCTTCGGAGGATGCTGCTGTAGCGGCAGCGGCGGCGGCTGCCTCTGGCGTGTCCGCTCCATTGACAGCGCTGCAGCCGGGATGATGAATGGCTGGGAGCGGAGATTCGTATTTCCCTCTTCCGTCTGCGGGAGGGAGAGGAACCAGCCCGGGTGGCTTTTGGGGTGTGATTGGTTTTGTGTGGAAGGGGAAGCGAACGGCGCTGGGCGTCTTCAGCCAGGGAAAGGGCACCCCTCTCCCGCAGTAAATGGGAGGCAGAGGGGTGGAGACTGCGCCGGTGGCTGGAGGGTCTGCATATGCAGAGGGTATCAGGAAAAGGATTATTATTATTTTTTAAAAAACACACACACGCTGCAGTTTCTAGGCAAACTCGCCGTCTTATTCTTAGCAGCTGCTCTGTGACCAGCAAAGGAAAAGCTGTGTGTGTGTGTGTGTGTTGAGAGAGAGAGAGAGAGAGAGAGATCGTGTGTGCAAGCAGCATGGTTCTGGATGGAAACCAGAATTTGCCTGGAAAGGGAGAGAAACCATAGCTTGGAACCTCGTGCGATTCTTGCATCTCATTTCGGCCATGGGGAGGAAAGGGCTGATGCCGTCAAAGTGGGTGGGTGGGAGGGAGAGGTGTCCTGGTTGAGGGATAAGCCAGAGGCTATCGGGATCCAGGTATCTCTTCCTAGCATGACTACAGAACACACCCACCTAAAGGAATCTCCCTTTCCATGCCCCTGCCGCTCCCTCCTACATAGGTCAATGTGGTAGCGGATGGATAGAACAGCTGCATTGGGACCACTGCGTGGGTGGGTGGGGTGGAGTGTGCTTATGGGCATCATCCTGCCTTCCTGCATGGTTGAGAGACATGAGGTGCACATCTCCTTCCTTGAGCCTCCCCTGAACTTAAGCAACTGTGGGATGACAACCTTGGGATGCAAAGGGGGAGCCTTTCGCGTCTCCTGCAAATAGTCTCTTTGCGGCTGCATTTTAAATTTTTTCTTAATCGTGGCATTGACTTAAATGTGTTAAAGCATTTAACTACAAAGAGATGGGGGAGACGCATACACGAAAAGCCATAGTGGAGCAATTCACGGCTGTAGCAGCACCGCTATAGTTTCCATGGCTGTGGGAAGGTGGCTTGCGCCAGCCATGCTGGGGATCTGTGGGTGAGCATTTGCATGGTACTCCCTGCCGTGTATATAGAAGTGCAGGTCTTTAGAGATGGCTATTTCCAGCAAGGTGCTTGAAGCAGCAAAAGAAGTAGCCCAAGTGGCTTCGAGCAACATGCTGTCCGAAAGCATCTGCAGGTGTTTCTTGAAGCAGGTTGTCAGAAATAGGCGTGCCGAACTTGTGCTTGTGTGCCTGGGTGGGGAGAGAGAGCTCCGCGCATACCGAAACCTGCAGACTTTCAGCAAGGGAAAAGCAGCTCCGAAATAGCCCTAATTGTACATCACACAAGGTTTCCAATGAGCAAGGCAAGGTAGCAGGGAGAAATATAGTGAAGACCCTGGAACAAAAAACCAGCATGTTAGAGAGAGGTTGGAAAGCTTAGTGATGAGAAAATGCCATTTCTCAAGCACAGCATGGGAGCAAGTAGAGGGTTAACTAGAAAATGTTCTTCCACGGGGGCTCACTCTAATTTTCTTCATTTTTCCACAACAGTTGCTCAGTCTGACAAGCAAAAGCAAACTGCTGCCTTTGTAGCACTTGTTAATTTTGCTTGATTTAGCATGTTTGCTGTTGGACGAAAATCGATTTTTCTTTTTCCTGCACAGCAAATTCGCTGGCTCCCCGCAACACACACTTTCCCTCTAGATATTTACTTAAGTCTCTTCCTCAGGCAAAGAAAATAATTAGAGACACCTGCAACCCTGATTGAGTTCTAATTCTCTTTCCAAGCAATTCGGGATTCGTACTATTAGGAACTCCATTATTGTCAAGAAACACATTGCGTAGGTTTCATCTTCTAGGTGGAGGCATGAATGCATCTTACCAGTAGTTTTAGTTTAATTCTTTAATAGCAGCCTGGCTGATTTTTTAATATCCTGGTTGTGCAAAGCAACCTTTCCAACAGGGGTAGGTTGTATAGTAGCAGCAAACTGCCAAAACACACTACCAATCCTGTAAACAGATGGGGGAAGAGCCTTACTTTCTAAAAAGAAGGAAAGCCATAATAACATACAAAAGGGTTAGCTCTAGTGGATGCAATTAATTTTGCTGCTCTCTTTGTTCCAGCTTTATAGGCAGTCTGTTCAAATCCATCCAGGTGCGCAGGACCGATTTCTCTCTTTCTGTCTTCTCATCATCTTTAATCAGCTAGGTGGTTCAGTGACATTTTTTTTTCTCCCACTTCCATCTGCCGAATCCTTCTGCAACCTGAACAAATTTTATACAGTATATTCCCAAGGTGTTCAGGAGGCTGTTTTTTTAATAATGTTAAAATCTACTACCCCAGCTCCACACTTTTCTGTGGAGCTGCCCAGATCCTTCTTCTCATGGGACGAAGCCGTTCTTGCTGGCACCCCATATCAGGGGTTCCCAGAGTCTCATGGTCCTTCTGTGTCAAAAAACATTGGAATTGTGTGCTGGCTGGCTTAGCCTAGCAGTCCGTCTAGTTCAGCGTTTTGACAGCAACCGGCCAGATGCTTAAAGCACCAATGTTGGAAAGATTCCAGGTGCTTCAATCTTTTATTTTTATTTAAAAAGCCAGCTGTTGTAGTGCCTAGAAAATGCAACATAGGCAGCCCAATAAAATGCATGCGTCTTCAGAAAAAGCCCCACGGAGTTCACAGTGGGGTTTACTCCCATGATGCAGCGAAGGCAAAGGGGGCACTGCCCCACCAACTCCAGTATTTGCTTGGCCAGCCCCCACCTGCTTGCCTTCTTACTGACAACCAGCTCAGGGGGTGGCACAACCTGTCCGCTTCCTCCTTCTCAGTGTTGCCCTTGTAGAACTCAGCAAAGAGGACGGAAACACAAGAATTAGTTGGCTCTGCCTGTCATTGGCTCCACCTACTGTTCAGGCTTCTTGCCTTGTGCCCTATCAGTTCCAATGCACATCTCTTGCCACTGCTCCCGTGTAAGTGCATACGATTGCATTCAGTGCCGAGTGCCACAAAATCTGCAGCCGTAAATATTGGGCACCTAAACATTTTATCTTGGTTCCCAATACTGTAATTTGATTTCCACACCCCTCCTCCTTTTTCTTCAGAACTGCTTAGAGAAATCACTAGCCTTGATGTGATAGAGATAGCCCACTTTCTGTCATTATCTGGTAGTCCTGATAAATTAAGATTCTGATTTTGTCTTTCACCTGGCCACTGCTATATCTGTGTGCTGCACCAGGGCAGCATGGAAAAATGAAGACAGGCATCTCAGCAAGCAGTGTTCACTGTTTTTCTTGGTTCTGGGTGTGCTAAGAATAATGATACTCATAGAATGTGTTTTATACCAGGATTGACTATTTCATAGAGTTGGAAAAGACCACGAGGGTCATCTAGTCCAACCGCTGGCTATTCAGGAATCTTTTGCCCAACATGGGACTCAAACCCATGGCCCTGAGATTAAGAGTCTCATGCTCTACCGACTGAGCTATCAGCATTTTATATATAGCATCTGCTGAGCATCCCATGGTTTCTCATGTACTCTCTCAGTAGAAAAACAACAGATTTCTGATGCTATGCTTGCTTATCCAGAAAGCACACTTACTGCTTCTGTGTCTCTCCACCCCAACATTGTCTGTGACTTTCACTCCTCCAGCTGCACCACCTTTACGCACCTGAAGGCCTCCTGTTCCCCTCAAACAAATCTACCCTTTCTTCGTTGCTGCCGTTCATGCCTGGAAGTGCCTCCCAGAATGTCTCTGTGGCTCCACCTCTTGTACTCCTCAAAACCCACCTTTTCTGCGAAGACTGTATGGCAACCAAGCCTAAGGAGGCTTGACTGAAATAAGCACATATTCCTCCCCCTTCTCTCTCTTTTCCTTTCCTTTCACTGTTGTCTCATTTGCTTTGAATTACAGGGTTACCGTACAATGAAGTTATCCCATTCGCTTCTACCTGCACAATGGAGCTTTCTCCTCATGCACACTTCCCAAATCTGCTCCGGAGGGGTGGGGGAAGGTGACACCAGAACAGATAGGGATGGGCACACTGGTAGAGGGAGGGGGAAGTTTTGTTGTGCAGGCGTGGAAGTCTAAGAGCGGTAGACTCGTAATCTGGTGAACTGGGTTCGCATCTCCGCTCCTCCACATGCAGCTGCTGGGTGACCTTGGGCTAGTCACACTTCTTTGAAGTCTCTCAGCCCCACTCACCTCACAGAGTGTTTGTTGTTGGGGAGGAAGGGAAAGGAGATTGTTAGCTGCTTTGAGACTCCTTTGGGTAGTGATAAAGCGGGATATCAAATCCAAACTCTTCTTCTTCTAATGGGACAACTTTGTTGCATGGAGCTGTTAGATTGCAAACTCCTTGGGGCAGGGACATGGCTCCTTGCACTTTTAAAAGATCCGAGTGCTGGGTAAATAATCATAATAGGCATTCTACTTCTAAAGAGCATAAAAATAGCCCTACTAGGTCAGGCCAAAGGGTGATATAGTCTAGCATCATGTTCCCATGGTGGCCAACCAGAAGCCGGCAAGCAGGACCAGAGTGCAACCGTTCTCATTCTTATCATGCCCCTTTAAATGCAGTGCGACTTCCATTTATGAGTAAGCACACTTGGTTGGGGCTGCAAAATTAGATCAAGTCAGATTTTAATATTAGTGGCCTTTATTAAATTTGTATAGTGCCCTTCATCTGAAGATCATAGGGTGTTTCGCAACATAAAAATTCCGAATGAGAACACAAAATAGGTAATAAAACAAAATAAAAAACAAGGAACAAACCAATAACCCCCACCTCCCACAAACACATTTCAAATGGCGTAGAATGTTAGTCAGCCCAAGGCCTAGTTGAAGAGAAATGTTTCTGCCTGGCACCTAAAGCTGAAGGCGCAAAGTGGGGAGAAGCATTTCATGAATGGGGAGCCTGCCACTGAAAAAGCTCGCTCTCATATTGCTGCCCTTTGGGACTCTTGTGGAGGAGGCACACGAATAAGGGCCTCCGATGATGGTTGCAGGGTCCAGGTTGGCTCATATGCGGAGAGAGGTGGTCCGGGAGGTATTTATTCCTCACATTTCTATTAAAATCCCACTCAAAGCAGCTTACAAAGAAAACAAGAACAGTATTAGAACACTAACCTTATGTATTCAATATTTGTTTATAGCATATGTGTGCTGCCCCATAACACACTGTTCTTTGGAAGCCTCCTCCACAAAAGGTCTAGGGCAGGGGTTGGCAAGGTTTACCTTGCCTGGGCCAGTTCACTCCAGAGGAGATCCCTCTGTGGGCCGGATTGCGTACGCATGGCTGTAATTTCCATCTACTGTGCATGCACAGACACGATTTACGGCACCACGAAAGTGAGACTCCACACCGTGCTGCGCTGGTTTAGTGCAGCGCGCGGGGACTTGCCGAGCAGGTGGCTCGGTTCATGGACGGCTTGTGGGCTGGTTAAACAACCCCTGTGGGTCTCTTGTGGCCCATGGGCCTTAGGTTGCCTACCCCTGGTCTGGGGGGGCGGGGCAACACAAGAACAAGTCTTTTCTGCAGTGGCTCCCCGCTTCTGGAATGCTCTCCCCAGGGAGGCTTGCCTGGTGCCATCACTGCATATCTTTAGGTGCCAACCAGGCAAAAACATTCCTCATCTCTTAGGCTTTTGGCTAATTAAATCATCTATGGCCTTTGAATTGTGTGTGTCTTTGTGGGGGGGTATTCTTATTATCTCAAATTCTGAGTAGGAAGTGGTTTTTCAGGTAATCTGGCCCCGAGCCATTAAGGGCTTTAAATGACAAGAGTTTTGAACTGGCCTACAAAATGGACAGTGGAAAAGCCAGTGGAAATGATGATCTGCTGATGGGATATGTTCAAATCTTCAAATCCTTAAGGAGGTCTGCTTCACATTTTGAGTACCATAACCCTTAAGTAATTCTTGCAGTGAATGCTAGCATTGGTCTTTGTGGCTGCTCCTTCTGAGTGCTGAAGTAGCTGCCAATTTTCATCTGCTGCCACTATTATTTCCTTTTGACACTCCTGTCCAATTATCTGGGACACCATGCCAAAAGAAGTGGGGCCCCTATTCTGAACCAGATTATGGGCTCTATTAGACAGCGTGCCTTCGTCTGTTACTATTCACGTAGAAAGGTGAGCACAGACTTATTCAGACGCAGCCTCCAATTTCCTACTATTCCATCCTGCCGTTGCATCTTTCCGCAGTAGAAACATTATTTTGCAAATTTGTAAAACCTTTTACAAATTAAACTCTACTCCAAACCTCATTGCGATGCCTTTAAGTGTTCTACAAGCAGTTCAACATATGCTCAAGCGAAAGTGGTGCTGGGTGCAGAATTCAGCTCCCTGAGAATCACAGCCTTAATTTAGAAACAAAACCCAAACATTTCTAGTCTTTAAGGCTGTGAATAAAGGCTTGAAAGTGTGTGGGCAATGTGGTAAAATTCAAGAACCGGAACAGTGACTGAATAAATGACGCAGGTATCATTGCTGGTTCTCTGTACTATTCCTTCCCCCTCCTCTGTGCCTAGCTGAATATTTTTTTGCAAAATAAGCATAATATTCATAATGATTTGCATAATTTAGACCTGTTCGACTTTCTTTGACATAGAATTTGGGTTACCTTGGTGCAAACTGAGCTCCCGTTGCTCTGTCCCAGCTTCTGCCAACCTAGCAGTTTGAAAGCACACCAGTGCAAGTAGATAATAGGGTACCACTGTGGTGGGAAGGTAAATGGTGTTTCTGTGTGTTCCGGCTTCCATTACAGTGTCTCATTGCACCAGAAGCTGCTTGCCACATGACCTGGAAAGCTGTCTCTGGACAAACGCCGGCTCCCTCCGCCTGAAAGCGAGATGAATGCCGCAACCCCTTTGACTGGACTTAACTGTTCAGGGGTCCTTTACCTTTTATCTTTACCTAGGGTGGTGATGGGATATTTGCTTTGGGTGCCAAGCAAGCAAGCAAGCAAGGAGGCAAGCAAATAAATAAATAAATAAATAGCCTTTTTATCCATCCAAGTTCTCGGCTTTGCCTGCCTGCCTGATGCTCCGATGTTCCAAACATTTAACCTTTTAACTAATGTTCAAAGATGCACAGCTGCCTTTCCATTTTGGCTGCTGATTTTATTTTGAAAGGTTCCTGCAGAAAGAATCAGACACGGTGATATGAAGAGAAAGAACAAAAAGATCAGTCATGGTTTCATAATCGTTTAAACATTTTGAAATGTCCTGTTCGGGAAACATAAGATAGCCCTGAGATGTTTTGCATTGGGGTTGCCTTCAGTGAAGTCCGGTGCCTTTTGCCCATTTTTGGAAAATGTTTGGGTGGTTATTTTTATATCACCTTTTGCTTGATTTCAGTGCCATGGAAGTCATATTGATGAGAAGATTGCAGAGGTTTGCATATGCATGCCGTGTGACTCCTAGGCTAGTGATAGGTTAAAGAACCAAGAAGGGAGGCGGGAGTAATGCTCTGTGCACCAATGGATGGCTGAAAGTTAGCAGTACTGGCATCTATCAGCATCACCATGCCTATGCTCATATTTGGTAAAGTCTGCCAATTTGCATCACTGTGGTTATGCTAATAATATGCTCCTCCAGCATCTGATAAAACCATCTCAATTCCCCGGTGATTTTTGGGGCGAGGTGTGGAAGAGCCCAGAAGGGTAAATGTTTATAGGAGAAACCTACCATAGCAACAGAGTTGTCATTAGTTGTCTGCTTGGGATCAGAGTGAGGCCAATTCAGGAGATGCAATTTTATGCAATTAGCTTCCAGCAGCAATGCAATTCTTACTGGGCGGGGATGAGTTTTGGAATGGCGAATTTCAGTGCTGAACTAGGAATGTAGGAAGACTCAGTTTGGGCAGTCCCCAAATTGGAAACGTTCCAGTTAAGATTTGCAGTGGCTTTAATTATTATTATTATTATTATATGAGGAGATTGCTATCAGAAATAGGCTGAGAGAAACAACAGAGGAAATGGGGACATAAAGGCTAGGACAGACTAAGCTGGGGAAGCAAGCATATGTGTATAATTTTATTAATTTAGCAAAAATTTATATGCCACTTAAGTTACTCCCATCAGCATTTTAGTGTGAATTTTTCCTAATATACACATTTTGGTAGGCAATTTTTCTTGAAATACATATTTTTTGCAAAAGTTTTCCCCAATATAATGCATTCTCTTACATCACTTTCACTATATATGCATATTTATGCCTATTTTAACCTACTACGTACAATTTTGTACCCATCGCTTGACTGAAGAACTGCATTGCAAAAATTCAAAAGAATGCCTGTTTCAAAGGAAGGCTGTGTTTTTTGGTTCACGTGTTATTTCAGAAAGTGTGACTAGGCATGTTCTCCTTTAGATGCAAACTGAGTTGAATTGCTTCCCCATCCCTATTGCCCACCCAAGTCAGCTCTCTCATCCGTGATCAGAGAATGCGCTATATATTTGCAGCAAAAGAGTTACCTTGAAGGAAAATGGTCTGAGCACAAGAAGTCTGCAATAATAATAATAATAAATAAATAAATAAATTATACTGGACTTGTTCTGTCATGGTGCTGCTGGAGTAACTATGATGTGGTTGGAATTAGTAGAAGGATTTCATTGGGTAAATCTAATTCAGTTGCAATACTGTACCTGCTTATCCTGGGGGTAAGTCCCACTGAGTTCAGGTTGACATGTATATAGGATTGAACTGTTTTCTGATTTCTCCTTAGAACTAATAGGCTTCTGTGCTGTGAGCATAGCTTTTATAACTAGCTCTGAATTTACTGCAACAACGTGAATTGGAAGTCTCACTTCACGGCAAGGTTAACACAGTTTAACATCTCTGGTGTAGATGCTGGCTGTGTTACAGCTGCTGTATGCTTAGCATGTTTTCTGGAGAAAGCTTCAGTAGAAATCCACATCATGGTTTCTGCACAGCCATTTTTAGTAGCTCCTTGTATTGCCAATTCTTTTAATTGTAATTGTAGTACACCTGTGGAACGCCCTCCCTGGGGAGGCTTGGCTGGCGCCTGCCTCCTTATCCTTCTGTCACCTGGCAAAGACTAAATAAAAAATAAATCCAAGATTTTTAACCCTTTCATTATGTCTGGGTATAATTGACCATAGCAACAACCAATAAAAATAGTGATGTTATTGCAAACTTATCATTTTTTCTCTCTCAGGCCTTCCTAAATCAGTCCATTCTGTTTCTCCAGCTTTTAATTATTGCTGACTAATTTTTTTAAAACAAAAAAATCCAACCACACATTTAATATGGTTTGTATTGTGTTTTATATTCAATTTTTGCGTACTGCTCTGGTGTTCTTTGAATGTAAAGGTAAAGGGACCCCTGACCATTAGGTCCAGTCGTGACCGACTCTGGGGTTGCGGCGCTCATCTCGCTTTATTGGCTGAGGGAGCCGGGGTACAGCTTCCGCGTCATGTGGCCAGCTTGACTAGGCCACTTCTGGCGAACCAGAGCAGCACACGGAAACGCCGTTTACCTTCCTGCTGGAGCAGTACCTATTTATCTACTTGCACTTTGACGTGCTTTCGAACTGCTAGGTTGGCAGGAGCAGGGACCGAGCAACGGGAGCTCACCCCGCCGCGGGGATTCAAACCACCGACCTTCTGATCGGCAAGCCCACAGCGCCACCCGCATCCTCTTTGAATGTAGAGCTGACTATAAATTCTGAAACAAACAAATAGGAACATAGGAACACGTCTTATACCAAGTCAGACCTTTGGTCAATTTAGCTCAGTATTGCCTAAAACAGCAGGATAAAACCACTCAAATAGCAGTCCACAGAAAATGTAATATGAAATAATGAACAGGGACATTTAAAAATTCCAGCCCAACACCATTAATTAAAAGCAGATGGGAATAAAGCAGTGTCTTTAGCTGTTTTTAAACAGGCACATGTGCCTCCTGCAGAAGGGAGCTCCCACAAAGGTGGGGCCGCCACAGAAAAGGCTCTGTTCTTTATGCCTCCATCCTTGATGGCAAACCTATGAGCAGGGCCAGTTGGTTGACCAGCAGGGCCTGCTAGTCAGTTTTAGCCCTAATGAAAACAAAATGCTTTTTTGTGGCAGCTCTGATTAATTGTATTGCATGAAGTTAATTAACTGTATTGTATAGTTGGCATACATGCACAACACACCTCAATGTGGCAGAATGTCATCAAAGCTACAAGAGCCACTGCATCTTGGATTGTCACAGTATACAATGTATGTAACAGCAAAGCTGGAAAAATAGCAGTGAGCATCAAATTTTTAGACATCAGCCCTGCAGAGGGATGGAAAGTAGGTCAAAATTCTTAGGTGTCAGAGCCAAATTTGAAGGCAGCTGGTTGACCAGCTGTTTAGGATTTTTCCAGCATTGCCTAAGACATTGCCTTCCTCTCTATTTCCTATTGTATTATTTGGAATTGACTAAAAAAAAACCCACTCACTTAATAATATCTTCTATGTCCCAAATAAATCCAAGACAGCTAGGGTGCATTGTGAGATGGTCTGGACGACTCCGCTGGAGACATGACAAAACCAGTTGTGAGTATTTTTCACAAGTGTCGTAAACTATGGCTATACCATATGCTTATTTTCAGTGGAGGAGTTCCAGTTGAATTCAGTGAGCTTACATCTGAGTAAACATGGAGAGAATCTGGCTGCAAGTTATTAGTTGTGCAGTGATACATTTATGTAAAGGTAAGGTAAAGGGACCCCTGACCATTGGGTCCAGTCGTGACCGACTCTGGGGTTGTGCCGCTCATCTCGCTTTATTGGCCGAGGGAGCCGGCGTACAGCTTCCAGGTCATGTGGCCAGCATGACTAAGCCGCTTCTGGCGAACCAGAGCAGCGCACGGAAACGCTGTTTACCTTCCCGCTGGAGCAGTACCTATTTATCTACTTGCACTTTGATGTGCTTTCGAACTGCTAGGTTGGCAGGAGCAGGGACCAAGCAACGGGAGGTCACCCCGTCGCGGGGATTCGGACCGCCGACCTTCTGATTGGCAAGTCCTAGGCTCTGTGGTTTAACCCACAGCGCCACCCGCGTCCCTATGATACATTTATGTACAATGCTCAAAATTATTCCTCCCAGGGAGGTAGGTATAGGTTTGCAGCCTTAGACTGCCACGTGCGGCTCAGTAAAGTGTTCAGAGATTTATGTTTTGCCTGTTTTTAATTTGGGTATTAATTGTGTTTTAAAGATGTATTGTAATCTATGATTGCCAGTCTTATGTTTTCAGAAGATGTTCTTAAAAGCAACAATGATAAATGCTTGATAAAGTCTCATAGTCACTCGGACAGAGCATGTCTGTTGCAATTTCAGCCCCCTTGGTTCAGGGATTTGGAAAGAGAGTCAGGATTGTCAAAACAGGACATTGTATATGCTGCCGTTATGTGAGCTGCAGCAGCATGGAAACAAGAAACTAAGGCTGTGTTCACACTACACCTTTCAGGTACATTTGAAGCTGTAGTTTGCTAAGGGTTGCTGGGAATTGTAACTCAGTGAGGGGTAAACTACAGGGTCCAGAATTCTTTGAGGGAAAGAATGTGCTTTGGATGTGCTTTAAAGGTTTTGTGTGCAGCCAACAGGTGCAGGCTGAAAATCTTAAGTTTTCTTTTTTTTTTTTCAAGGCCCAGCATCCAGCAATTGCACAGGTTTGAAAGTGTGGTTGTGGTGGGGAGCCTCAGGGCACCAAGCTTTCTTGGGTGTTTTTGCCGGACTAGGATGTGCTGTTGAACTGTGATAATTGAACTTGGTGTCCAGGATTGGAGGATAAAGGGTTATGCTCAAGTGTATGTAGAAACTAGTCTACTCTACAAAGTAAAATTTACACTTGTTGCTTCTTCCAGTTTTGCCTCTGGCTTCTCCCATGTGGCTCTTGAAAGGTTGCCCAAGTGGGAATAATAATAATAATAATAATAATGATAATGATAATGATAATCAGTGCTTTTTTTCCTGGTGGTACACAGGGGTACGCATACCCCTAAACATTTTGTTAATCTTTGTACTTTCGTCCATCTACTGTATTTATTTCCCCCGATTTGAACTATAAAATGGTGATTTTCTTGAGTCAAAATGAGAGTACCCCTAAACATTTTTTTTTAGAAAAAAGCACCAATAATAATAATAATAATAATAATAATAATAATAATATTTATACCCCACCCATCTGGCTGGGTTTCCCCAGCCGCTCGGGGCGGCTTCCAGCACTTAAAAAAATATAACACAATGTCAAACGTTTAAAATTTCCCGATACAGGGCTGCCTTCAGACATATTCTAAAAGTTTTGTAGTTCTTTCTCTCCTTGACATCTGATGGGAGGGTGTTCCACAGGGAGGGTGCTACTGCCAAGAAGGCCTTCTGCCTGGTTCCCTGTGACTTCACTTCTCGCAGTGAAGGAACAGCCAGGAGGCCCTCAGAGGTGGATCTCAGGGAACCTAGCCCTGGGGCTGTACCCCTCACAGTCTGGGCAAGGCTTGGTGAAATTTCAGAAGCAGAAAACACAGGAGTGGCATGTCGGGGGAGAGAAGGAACTAGTGATCATAGGGAATTGCTTCCTTCTGCACTAGGACATTGTTCCGTCTAGGACAGTACAGCACTGGGGAGCAGCTCTCTGAGGTCTCAGGCAGAGATCCCTTCCCCTGCCCTGCTGCCGGCAATGCCAGCAACTGAACCCGGGGCCTTCTGCATCCAAATATTGTGCTTTACCACTAAACTGTGGCTCCTGTCAAGGGATAGGATTTCCAGGGACGGGGCTTCAGCGTCCTGCGTAGACCCTTGCACCCCTGCCTTCGTGAATCAGCAGAAACAAAATGAATAATGCAGGATTAGCAAATCTGCTTGATTTGCATCATGTATGCAAGGTGCATAATTCAGCATTCTTCAGAGTCAAGCGTTGCTCTATTTAGGCCAGGCTGCATGGAGACCCGCAATGTGCATGCTGATTTCCACCTCACCCCCCTTCCTCAAACCCTTTTGCCATTTGCTCTAAAATACTTTCTTCTTGCTGTGTCAGTTGACGTATAAGATCTTTTTTTCACATGATCTTCTTTTTTTTTTTTTTTTACATGCAACCTGTCAGACTGTACATCAAAAAGACAGCAACGATGATACAATATATTTTGTGGCTTGCCTCTGCCTATTGAAATTTGTTTTAGAAGAATTTGTACATTAAAAGGGCTCGTGGGAATAAGGGTCCAAATGAAAGTTCAGGTGCTTTATTAATCTGTTCCAACGCAGCTGTGCCGGCTGAGGGTACCTGTGCCAAATCCTTTTAAGGCAGTGGAGCTGGTCCAGACCGTGATGAGGCTCTGCTCTTCTTCACAACCTTACTCAGTGACCCCAAGTGTAATAATTCCTCTTGAACCATCTGCTTCCCATTCTTGCCAGAGGGTTTTCTACAGAACTCTTGCCTAAGTTCTGGATAAATGTAGGACACACAAGAATATCCGAACAGGCCTTGTCAGCAGAATCATCTTAAGGGAGATCTTGCAATATTGCATTGCTCCTTGAAACACATGGCTTCCCACAGATACTGAAAATTACAGGCAAGCCTATACTTTATTCGTTTGCTTTCAAAAGAATTTTTATTTGAGTAATTGCACGTGTAAACAAAACCATGTGGATGGACTTCCATAAGCTTCGTAAATATAAAATGCATGTATTGCAAACTCTTAAATGGGTTTCATCCATGGATGTACACATGAACCCACAAACACACACAAATATGCAAGATTTATCTGTTAGAGAAAGCTGATTCACCATATATGATGCAACTGGAGCCCAAAAGTCACTTAATGTTGTAAATGTTATTGGGATATGTTAGGACGGCCGAGTGTTAGTTGTTTAGGTTCAGCTACTGAAGCTCATTGAGAGGTGTCTACTTATTTGGGTAAAAAAGCATCATCCGCAGCAAAATGGGACAGGACTATTGCCCCCATTCAACTAAAGAATCGCCAGCATTGCTCTGGACGAGAAGGCAGTCAGTACTCCAGTTGCCTTTTTGATATCTTGCAGGACATCATATGAGCTCCATTTACCTGCTGCAGCTCTGCTCCAATGTCATCCCTTGGATATATTAGAGTCTGGCGCTTGCATTAGAGCAAAGAACATAAGAAAAGCCCTGGTGGAACAAGTCAGAGACATATAGAGTCCAGCATTCTGTTCTAAGCTGAGAGATTCTAAGTTTTATCTTATATACATGCCCCTGAAAGTATTTTTACTCATCTCCTGTAATTTCTTCTCCCCTTCTCCTTCCACGCTTAACTTGCACCCTATTCCCCACAAGCTATTTCTATCATTCCTCCTCCCTACCATATGAACTTCTTTCTCCTTTCTTCTCTCATTTTCTTCCTTTCTAGCTATCACTGTTATTATTAAATTTTTAAAATTTTTTAGTGTTTTATTATGTTTTTATATGCGCTGGAAGCCACTCAGAGTGGCTGGGGAAACCTAGCCAGATGAGTGGCGTATAAATAACAAAACATTGTTGTTGTTGTTGTTGTTGCCAGCCAGGGGCATATCAGAAGACAAGAGCCCTCTCCCATGGATGTTGCCTCTGATAATGGAGGTAATATGGCCATCATGACAAGTAACCATAGATCGTCTTATCTGATATGAATTTGTTTGATTCCCTTTTTAAACCATCCAAGTTGGATGGCCCAAAATGTATCTTTTTTTAAAAAATAACAATATTTTATCGAGTTTTGCTGCCAATGATGTCACCTTTCCTTATGAAGAGCTGCTCCAGTCTTCTTTTGGTTGCCCTTTTCCAGCTCTACAATATTATCTTTGAGTCTTTTCTGTGCAGAATTGGGCTGTTAGGCAGCACAGTCCTGAATGTTTCTTCATGGCATGTTCTCCCTTGAAATAATCCCCTAAGAACAAAAAGTCATTGGGGTGCCTCATTACTGTGGTCGGATTTATTCCGTGCCGCATTCCTCCCCCAAACGTATTTTATCCTTCTCTATTAGTTTTCAGATGTCAGTTGAAGAGGGTTTTATTTCAGGGGACAGCTGGGATCCATTGAATTATGAATTCGTGTTAACCACTGGTGCTTCTGTTGGACATGTTTTGTTTTTCAAATGCTGTCTATTTAAAAAATGACTTCACCCTATCTCCCTAGTTAACTCAAGCCTTTTTCTGACTCAGCATGAAGCAATCACCCACCCAAAATGTTCCACATGGCATAATTAATAGTCACACCGTTTTTACACAGCAATCTCAGGTATAACAGGAAATATTTTATATTCTACACACACACACACACACACAGGACCGTGACACACACAGGACAAACCTCTTACTCTCTTTCATTCCCTCATACTTTGGTCACCTTTGTTGATTGAAGGATGCCCTTCGTGGCTAGAAATGGGAGATATATTTCTGAGGCAACAGTGTGGTTGTTTCAGTTTCTAAAAGAATTGCCCGTAAGACAAATAAAGCAAAACCCACTTCCTTCATCATACTCAGTATATCAACGTGGGTCGCGCTGTGGTCTAAACCACTGAGCCTCTTGGGCTTGCTGATCGGAAGGTCGGCAGTTCGAATCCTTCCAGCGGGGTGAGCTCCCGTTGCTCAGTCCCTGCTCTTGCCAACCTAGCAGTTCGAAAGCATGCCAGTGCAAGTAGATAAATAGGTACTGCTGTGGTGGGAAGGTAAACGGCATTTCCATGCGCTCTGCTACTCATCACAGTCCTCCGTGCGCCAGTAGCTGTTTAGTCGTGCCCTGGAAAACTGTCTGTGGTCAAACGCTGGCTCCCTTGGCCTGAAAGTGAGATGAGCGCCGCAATCCCATAGTCGCCTTTGACTGGACTTAACCGTCCAGGGGTCCCTTACCTTTACCTTTTACTCGGTATATATACTAGAAACCTTTTTCTCTCCTTTTTGTGGGGTGGGGGCAGGATGATGATGATGATGATGATGATGATTATTATTATTATTATCAAGTTTTCAAGGCAGATCTGCCACTCTGCCCCCTCATGAACCCCAGCTGGGTATGAGGGAAAAGGGGATGATCTTGGAGATTCCAGAGGCGGATGGACTGAGGGAAGCGAAAGGGAGAAAAAGTGGAGAGCAGCAGGAGTCAGGGAAGGGAGGTAGAGAATTAAGTGTTTGTTGGGCAGAGAATGTGTGTGTGCCCATCTAGTAAATCTAGGTCAAATCTAGTAAAACAAATCCTTGAAAAATTGCCCAATTTTTCCATTCCCTTCCCTGAAACCACCATCAAATCACAGATCAGAGCTGTCTCCATTGACTGACCCAAAAATATCATTGATGTGCGACATGGATCGTTATGGGTCTTCACAGTTATTTGTTTGCTGGGCATGAAGGTGCTCACTGGTATGTAGTACTGCTGCTTCCTCTTCTTTGCTGCTCACAGCAGCCATTTTGTGCTGGCACCCATTAACACGTGCATCATTAAAAAAACTAATTAAAAGTAAAAAAATAAATTTTAAAAAGCACGCTAGATCTTTAAATGGGGTCACCGCAAAACCATATAGGTTAGCTGTGTGGTCCACAAATGTGCTCAGTGATGTCTTAGTGGGTTCCTTGCCCTCCTACGTGAGGAAAATCATTAGGCGTGGCTGACATGGAAGTGCAGTTTATCTGGAGAGGGGCAGTGAGTGCTGTGCAAATGCGCTGGCAGAACCAATCCAGCAGTCATGTGTGTGCATGCAGAGATCTGACCTTCCCCTTCTCCTCTCCTCACTGGTGCCAGCAGCGACTACAGTGCCAGAAGGCCAACCACTTCAGAAAACCATCACCATGCAGGCAGATTTGTGCCCTGTGGAACGCCTTCCCATCAGGTGTCAAGGAAATAAACAACTATCTGACTTTTAGAAGACATCTGAAGGCAGCCCTGTTTAGGGAAGTTTTTAATGCCTGATGTTTTATTGTATTTTTAACATTTTGTTGGAAGCCGCCCAGAGTGGCTGGGGAAACCCAGCCGGATGGGCGGGGTATAAATAATATCATCATCATCAATATTTTGGTGATGCTGGCAAGCAGCAGATCTGTGTTTTTACTGAGCAATGTTACCAACACTAGCATTAATTTCTTGGTAGCTTTTTGGGGTACTCTGTGTAAAATCATTCAGTTTTTAATTTTACTGGATCTGACTTTTCCCCAGACCCCAAAACAAGTTATGTACAGTCATACCTCAGATTACAGATGCTTCAGGTTGCGTTTTTTTGGGTTATGGACGCGCCAAAACCCAGCAGTACTGAAATGGGTTACTTCCGGGTTTCGACGGTCACGCACGTGCACAAGCGCTAAATCGCGCTTTGCGCATGCGCCAAAGCACCAAATCACAACCCGCAGGTGCGGCGCTGCAGGTTGCGAACGTGCCTCCCGCATGGATCATGTCCGCAACCCGAGCATCCACTGTATATGCATGCATTCTCTCTTTCTGTGTGGTGGTGATAATGGGAAGAATAGTCCAAGGGAGTCCGAAGGAAGAGAAGTAACCAGAGGAGGCACTGCCTATGGCACTCCTTCAAAATTCCAAATGTGTTCATGGGGTCTAAAAGGTTCAGTCACTCATGCCCACTTACGTATTTTCCCAGCTCACCGACAATCAGGACTAGCACCATGCCCTTTGTTTTTAAAGCAAGACAAGATTCCTAGAAAACCAAATTCCACAATAGTTCCCCAACTGATTTATGGGATGCATGTGTGTATATGTACATAATCATAACACATGTGGCAGTGTTAAATGACAGCGTTTCATTTTCTTCTGTAATATTCCTTTAGGCTGTTAGTGGCAAATTAGAGCTCTAAAACTGTTCACGGCTGTGGTTTTGGAGGAAGCCATCTAAACTATCCCAAAGGGGATCAGTTTTCTTACCAAATGACACTCAGTCAAACTGACTGCATGAAGCCATATGACTAAGCTAAAACTAAAGAAACTTAGCTCTTCACCCCCACAAACTGCTTCCAGTGTATGGAATAGAATATAAAAGCAAATAGAAGTCCCTACAAATCATGTGAACATGACTGAGTTTCCAGAGGCAAACTATGCAGTGACAAAACCCTGAAGATTTTATCTGTCCCGACACTTAAATGTTTGCTGTAGAAGTTATGGTCTTTCCCAAACCATAGACATAAGTCTGAGCGCATGTGAGGCTGGCCTGTTCATTTGCCCATAATTCTCTCACAGTCTGGGTGAAAAGATTGGTGGGACATTAGAGTGTAACTTCTGCATCCAGTAAAACAAGATATCTACCCAATGTATTTAATCTTCATATTTATAGCCTGCCTTTCTTCCATGGAACACAAGCATGGGGTTCACAGGCAATCTCCCATCCAGACTTATCCCAGATGTTGACTCTACCCAAGTGCACTTAGCTTCAGCGAAAGGACTGCATGACTTGCCTGCCTTTGTAGTTTGGGAGGCACACCATAAATTACCTTTTCCTGCTCTGTATTCTGTTAATAGCTCTGGCTGTATCCAGTGCAGGTCCTACCAAGAGAAGACCCATTGAAAAGAATGGGCTCTGAGTAAAACATAGCTGGACACAAGCCATGGTTTGCCCTCTACATCCAAGGTTTTTCTTTCACAGATAACTTACCAGAGAGGCCCTGGCACGAGTGTGTGTGTGTGTGTGTGTGTGTGTGTGTGTGTGAGAGAGAGAGAGAGAGAGAGAGAGAGAGAGACAGAGAGAGACAGAGAGAGAGAGAGAATCCATTGCCTTTGCTGTTCCCATGGGGAAATATCTCATTAAAGCTAATGGGAGCTTTTCTCCATGCAAATAAATCACTTGGAAGGTTCATTGTGCTCATTCAGTATATACATTTCATTTTCAAAAGGTAGTAGGTACAGGAGGCCCAACCAGATCAGGATCACAAAGGGCAGAGGATTGCCCACACACCCATGCCAATGCCCTAATCCAGATTGGGGCTTGCATTAAGGGCAAAGTAGGTGATTAATGTAATACATGCAGTTTAAATATTTTTCATTACTTTTCAAAAGAAAGTTTATACAAAATTCTGCAAAATGCAGTGTTATCGGTTTCTGATGACGATATACATAGTCCATATACAGTTATGGATCAATGTAAGAAAAAGACAAGACATAAAATAAAACCAAAATAGACAAAGCACAGGTATGCGAATGCGTGGAAGGTAGCGAGGGCGATAAAAACATGGGCTCTATTATACCAAGGGAAAGTATTTAAAGTATTCAAATGCCCTGAGTCACTTTATCAGCCATATTTGTCTGTAAGCTGTGTGTGTGATCCTCAACCATGTTCCCCCTTGCTTTCAAATGGAACTAAATCGGGCCAAACAGGTACGAAATTGTCCTTTTTTTCTTTGGCCCCTAAGAACTCTCTGCTGATGGGTGCCTTCGGATGAGCCCTCACTCTTGCAAGTAAACAAGAGCAACAAAAGGATTTGCTCCAGTGCTTGCCCACACCGGTTACCAGTGTTCAGTAACTAGAAAATGTCAATACTATAACCATTATATTTGCTGATATAATCTACCCATGTAAAAATGTTTCATAACACAGCAGTTCTGAAAGTCAAATATATCCAGATGGCACCTGTCTTGATGGGGAACCATAATACTTGTGGGAACATTTATTGTTTTTCTACGTGAAGGCAATTTCAGGTCAGTGTAATACTTGTGATTATTTTATTTTATTATTTTTTTCCAGTGTTTTTGATCAGCTTTGCTGCAAAATATCTTCTCCTTGAGGCTGAACATTCAGTAGTGACTAAATATCTCAATATCCTAGTGGTGGGTGGTGACCTTGCCAAAGTTTGTAATTCCTGCACTTGGAAGAAAAACTGGGGTGACTTATAATTCGAGGTGAACATTGTGACCCTGAAAGTTCTTTTCCAGCTAGGATTGTAATCCAAACCAGAGAACAGCTCTTCCCACACCCAACAGATTTGCTTCCATAAACATTGTTGCCTGTTTTGAAGAGGTTCATCGATGGAGGCGTTAGTGCACTCACTTTGAAAGAACTTGCATTCTTGTTGACATGTCTTTGATAAAAATCTGAACAGCGGATGACAATGGCTAGGATCCAGTGGAGATACTAATCCATGTGCAAGTGCTCACAAGTCCCAAACTGTAAACTGCTTTTCTGAGCTTAAGGAAGTTTGGGAGTTCAGCAAGGGACATTTCTGGAGAGGAAACCGTGCATGCAATGATCTGATCTATGAAAGTGCATTGTGGTACACAAGTACTGTAAACAGGATTTGGGTTACACAAGACTTTTCTGTGCAGGACACAAGAGCCAGTGTGGTGCAGTGGTTAGAGTGTCAGAGATCAGGGTTCAAATCCCCAGTCACTGGGTGACCTTGGGGCCTGTCACTGCATCTCAGCCTATCCTGCTTTATGTGGTTGTTGTGGGGATTAAATGAGGGGAGAGAACCATGTGCACTGCTTTCAGCCCCTTGGAGAAAAATGTGGGATATAGATGCAAAAAAATAAATAAACGTGGGTCATTTTGATTTTAATATAAAGTGGGAGGTTGGGGGTGAAGCATTGACAGGCAGGAGAGGGAAGGGGAATCAGATTCCTCCCCCCAAGCATCACTTGTTTTTAATGCCGTTTTTGATCAGATCCCAGCTCAAGAAAAAGGCATTGAAAAGAAAGCAATTTTAGTGGGGGAAAGTGCTGGAGAGGAGGGCTTGGCTCTTGGCCTTGGTGTACTTTACCCCTCCACCACTGCCTGCCACTTTATATTAAGTTAATGGTAGCCTGGCTTCTACACACTGGTCTGTTGCTGCTGGTTGAAGTTTGACCCTTACATCCTGTGTTTTCCTAGCTGTGTCAATCTCGGCCTACTGCAGATTAAGTTTACGTAGCAATTTCCATTCTAATTATCTGTTTTCAATCACTCACATCTTACATAAACTTTCCAGGCTTCTTCTCTGCCACAGATGTGTATATATAATTAAACAATTAACATTGCCAACTCTGTGGTATTCAGTAGAAGTAACCAGAGTTCGCAAAACACACTTGTATAGATATAGATATAGATATAGATATAGATATAGATATAGATATTTTTTTTTAAAAGCAACAACTATGGATTAAATTGATGGTGGCTGAATGGAAAGGAAGTGTAGAATGGATGTATACTCACATAGAGTATACATATCACACTGAAAACTGAAGAGAAACTGAGTGTTTGGGCAGTGGGAATGTGTTCCACAGGGATTCACAGTAAGGTAAACATTTCCACAAAGTGCATTTGTATGTCAGGACCTCTTGTCTGCATAGAGTCTCAAACCAGGGTCCTCTGGGAGCTGAGCTGGGTTTTTGCTCCTGTGACCTAAGATCCAAATGACTTGCACAATTTATTTATTTCTTTATTTGTTTGTTTGTTCCCTTTATATACTACTTTTCCTTCAGCGAGCCCAAGGTGGTATACATGGTTCTCTTCTTCCCCATTTTATCATTGCAGCAACCCCGTGAGCTCAGGTTAGGCTGAGAGTCTGTGACTTGCCCAAGGTTCAGCCAGTGAGTTTCATGGCTGAGCAGGGATTTGAACCTCGATCTCCCAGATCCTAGCCCAACACTCAAGAGCTGATCCGAGTTTCATTGGTTCCATGTGATTAGGAAGTATCCTGGCAATACTGTGAGTTATTATGACTTTGCTGAATGGTATTTGTTGTTTTGATGAATTTGTTGTTGTTTGCTTTATATGCTATTGTGTGATAGTATAGTGATCACAATGAGGTTTTGTTTTTGGTTGGTTTTTTTAAAAAATGCTACTGTGATTACTGCGAACCACTTTGAGCTCAACATTTGTTGTTGGAAAAGTGGAATACAAATACTAAATCAGCTCGTCATGCTTTTAAAAAAGAAGAAGAAGGAAAAATGCTGGTGGGCATGGGCCAAACACTTAAAAAGGGTAAAGGGGACCCCTGACCATTAGGTCCAGTCGTGACCGACTCTGGGGTTGCGGTGCTCATCTCGCTTTATTGGCTGAGGGAGCCGGCGTACAGCTTCTGGGTCATGGGGCCAGCATGACTAAGCCACTTCTGGGGAACCAGAGCAGCGCACGGAAACGCCGTTTACCTTCCTGCTGGAGCGGTACCTATTTATCTACTTGCACTTTGACATGCTTTCGAACTGCTAGGTTGGCAGGAGCAGGGACTGAGCAACGGGAGCTCACCCCATCGTGGGGATTCGAACCACCGACCTTGTGATTGGCAAGTCCTAGGCTCTGTGGTTTAACCCACAGCGCCACCCAGAAGCAGCTTAGTCATGCTGGCCACATGACCTGGAAGCTGTACGCTGGCTCCCTCGGCCAATAAAGCAAGATGAGCGCCGCAACCCCAGAGTCGGCCACGACTGGACCTAATGGTCAGGGGTCCCTTTACCGTTTACCTTAGTAAGCATTAGGCGCATCCAATATAACTATTTAGATCCCAGCCTTACCCATTGCTTCATCATTCTGTGTTCTTGCGTGGGTCTGTGCACTGCCCCATTACCACGTCCTGTGGGAAAGAAATGGCTCTTCATGGGCAGGAAAGAAGGTGCTCTGCTCATCTGTGGTTTTGACGCCTTTTAAAGTCACCTCTTTTTTGGCCACAATTTGTGTAACAAATGGGTGCCAGAGATAGCATCTGTTAAAACCAGCTCCTATGGCCAAGGGGAGGAAATTAGCAGACTCTCCTTGGTCAGCAAACCTTCATTATACATTAACACCCATGGCAAACAAGCAAACTAAAAGGACCACAGAAAGAAGTTTCACACCTTATTCCCCCCCGCCCCCACCCCAGAATTCTCAGGAAGGCAAAACCTGCTTTTTTATTGTTTAGGTGACAGGTGGAGACCCTTTTAGTCTCCAAGGCTTTAAAGAGCTGACTGATGTTGGCTGCTGCTTTTATTGGCTTGCAGAACAGGTTTTTGCTGCTCCTGTTCTTTCAAAACTCTTTGTGTGCCCTTTTAATTGTTTTATAATTAAAGTAAACAGTTTTGGATATTTTAAATAGAAAAAAAGGATATGTAAATGTTTCAAACAAACAGAAATAAGCTCAAAATAAAAGAAACGTTCCGTGCAGCATAGCAGAGGGCACCATTTCTGGTGCCATTTTTAGTTAAACATCTGAGCTAGGTTAAGAGCTTTGAGAACTTAAAGACGAAAAGTCGCTTTATCCAGGGATAGCCCACATATATATTGACCTGTTCTGACCTCTTTTTCTTAATGGTGACTGCTCCTTCTCAGGCTGCACAGAAAAAGCATTTTGGTTCCAGAAATTCATTCCGACTTTTCAGCTGAGATATAATTGATAGAATTCTACAGGATGGGCTATTAGTGTGTGAAAACAGTTCCAATGATCCCCAGGCATGGACCTCCAAATGGTGGAGATGTCAGACGCCACCTTAGCACCCAGGCACCTTCACTTGTTCGTAAATGGTTGGAAGCTAGGTGCAAAATGTGCTTGGCACCTGGCTAATTTTGAACACTGATTTTAAGCACATCCAGTACGCAGGACTTCATCCCCACAAGGAATCTTCAGAGTGCTACCATTCCCAGCACCATTAACAAACTACAGTTCCCAGGATTTGTTGAGGGGAGTCACGTGTGTGTGTTGCCTGTGCAGTGTGCAGTGGTGTAGATCTGCTGTGACAAATGTGTCGTAGCTTGAGCTGTAGCAGAAAAGGCGCAGCTCCATCAGATACATGAAAGTGGACCACAGACGTTATACAGTGGTACCTCGGGTTAAGAACTTAATTCATTCTGGAGGTCCATTCTTAACCTGAAACTGTTCTTAACCTGAAGCACCACTTTAGCTAATGGGACCGCGTTCTGCCACCGTGCCGTTGCTGCGCGATTTCTGTTCTCATCCTGAAGCAAAGTTCTTAACCCGAGGTACTATTTCTGGGTTAGCGGAGTCTGTAACCTGAAGCGTCTGTAACCCGAGGTACCACTGTATATGATCTGCACATAGATCCAGAAGGAGAGGGGTATGGTAGAATCTGTGTTGCAGAATGAGATAAAAGAAGTGTATCCATATCTTTGTTGCCCTACTGATAGCGACGCAATTTGAGCTGCAGCCATAAACAGACTAGGACAGCCTTCGCCAGCATTGGTGCTTGTCAGATGTTTTGGTCTACAGCTCCCAATTATTATTTGATTGTTTCATCGAATTTATACACTGCTTGATTTGTGGGGAAACCCTCAAAGCACTTTACAATAAAGAATAAAGCAATAATGGAGCAATCAATAGCTCCAGCCAGCATGAATTGTAGTCCAAAACACAGGGACAGCACCAGGTATATAAGATTGTACATGCTGTTGAGAAAGTGGGTAGGGAGAGTTTTTTCTTCCTCTTTTTCAATGCTAGAACCTGGTCTCATCCGGTGAAGCTGAATGCCAGAAGATTCGAGACAGACAAAAAGAAAGTACCTCTTTCTTTTGCTACTGCAAGTGATGGCCACCAGCTTGGGCTGGCTTTAAGGGGACCAGAAACATTCATGGAGGATAAAGCTATCAATGGCCCCTTGTCATGATGGATAAGTTGCACTGCTTCCAGTATCAGATGCAGTACCCAGAGGCCTCTGAACAGAGGTTTTTTTACGTTATTAAGGCACGGGCAACTTTCTAGGTGACTAGCTTTCTGAGACCCATCGTATAAGTTCCCCATCGACATGTAAATGCTGGAGAATGGACAAGCATGCCACTGACCTTCATTTATTTATTTTTTATTCCACTTTTTGTATAATTCATGGCCATAAAATATAGGAAGGGAATTTGCGAACAAGTTTGTTTATTATTCTTACCCAGATTTAGAATGTTACTAGTAATTTTCATTTGGCGTTTAGAAAACCTTTACCAGATATTACTACAGGAAATTGTATCTTGTTTTGTTTGTTTCATTAAAAAAGGGAAAAGGTGACACTTCAGCAAGGATCTGCCTGTGCTGTCAAAAATCCATGTTAATTCAGACAAGCTTAATTGGTTGTAAACACCTGTTTTTTGTTGTTTATTAGTTCAGTGATTTTCAACTGAATGCAAGTTGAACTGGAAATCATTAGCCAACAGCAGATGTACGGATTTCATGATATAACTGTTCTAATTCGCTAATGACTTGACAAACCATTATTTTTTGTAAATGGGGTTTATCCATGTGAGATACTCTAAATCTATGTGACCTGCGGAAAGACAGTAATTTTGCAACTCTCCCCCTGCTACCTGAATCTGGATAACACGTTTTTACAATTTTGTATTCTGCAGGTTGGAAAACGTTGGGAAACTGGTACGAGAAGCCAATCATGATGGGATTAAAGAATCTAGCTGCCTTTCCTGGTGGTTTTCACCTTTTAAGTGTTTGTGTGCTCTTGCTGCTATTTCACATGGACAAAGTGCATGCAGAACATCAGTCCGAAAATGCCAGCAAAGATGATGCGTGCACTGGTACCTATTTCTGTAAGAAAGGTGTGATTTTGCCAATCTGGGAGCCTCAAGACCCTTCCTTTGGAGATAAAATAGCAAGAGCTACCGTATACTTTGTGGCTATGGTCTATATGTTTCTAGGAGTATCCATCATAGCAGACCGCTTCATGTCATCCATAGAAGTTATCACATCCCAAGAAAGAGAGATCACGATCAAGAAACCCAATGGCGAGACCACCAAGACGACTGTTAGAGTTTGGAATGAGACTGTTTCCAACTTAACACTGATGGCTCTGGGCTCTTCTGCACCTGAGATTCTCCTTTCTGTCATTGAAGTGTGCGGCCATGGCTTCACTGCAGGGGACCTTGGGCCGAGCACCATTGTAGGAAGTGCTGCTTTTAACATGTTTGTCATCATAGCCATCTGTGTCTACGTTGTCCCTGATGGGGAGGTTAGGAAGATTAAGCACCTCCGTGTGTTTTTCGTCACGGCCGCTTGGAGCATCTTTGCCTACACATGGCTCTACCTGATTTTGTCTGTCATATCTCCTGGGGTTGTCGAGGTCTGGGAAGGCTTGCTCACCTTGTTCTTTTTCCCCATCTGCGTGGTGTTCGCATGGGTTGCGGACAGAAGGCTTTTGTTCTACAAGTACGTCTACAAGAAGTACAGGGCTGGCAAGCAGAGGGGCATGATCATCGAGCACGAAGGGGAAGGGCCACAGTCCAAAGCGGACATTGAAATGGATGGGAAGGTGGTGAATTCTCATGTCGAAAGCTTCTTGGACGGCACCCTGGTCCTAGAGGTGGACGAGAAGGACCATGACGACGAGGAAGCAAGGAGGGAAATGGCCAGGATCCTCAAAGAGCTGAAGCAGAAGCACCCAGACAAAGAAGTTGAGCAGCTGATAGAGCTAGCTAACTATCAGGTATTGAGCCAGCAGCAAAAGAGCCGAGCCTTTTACCGTATCCAGGCTACTCGGCTCATGACGGGAGCTGGCAACATACTGAAGAGGCATGCAGCTGACCAGGCAAGGAAAGCGGTCAGCATGCACGAGGTCAACTGTGAAGTGGCAGACAACGACCCTATCAGTAAGGTCTTTTTTGAGCAGGGCACCTACCAGTGCCTAGAGAACTGTGGCACGGTAGCTCTAACTATTGCTCGCCGAGGTGGCGATTTGACCAAGACCATCTCAGTTGACTTCCGAACAGAAGATGGCACAGCCAACGCTGGCTCCGACTATGAGTTCACTGAAGGGACTGTGGTGTTTAAGCCAGGCGAGATGCAGAAGGAAATACGGGTGGGCATAATTGACGACGATATATTTGAGGAAGACGAGAACTTCCTCGTTCACCTCAGTAATGTGAAAATGTTATCTGAGGAGGGAGAAGATGGGGTTCTGGAGGTCAACCACATTGCAACCGTGGCTTGCCTGGGGTCGCCTGCTACTGCCACTGTCACGATCTTTGACGACGACCACGCTGGCATTTTTACCTTTGAGGAGCCAGTCACTCACGTGAGTGAGAGCGTGGGAACGATGGAAGTGAGAGTGCTACGGACATCTGGAGCACGAGGAAATGTTATTGTGCCCTACAAAACCCTCGAAGGCACGGCCAAAGGGGGCGGTGAGGACTTCGAAGACACTTGCGGAGAGCTTGAGTTCCAGAACGACGAGATTGTGTAAGTACTGCTAAACCTTTGTGGCTTGTCAACAGTTCAGGTATACTTGCAATCATATCTGGTAAAATGTTATTGTCAAAGTTCATGCTGAATCAAATGCTGGGTGCTCTTGTGTGCAAAATATAGAGGAAGCCATGGCACCTTAGGTGCTGTGTGTGCCTGTGTGTGACTGTGGCAAACCCATGCAGATTCCCCATGTTATGAAGCTGTGTGCCTGTCAGAGAGCGCTGTCAAAAGGAGTGAATCCCAGAAGTGTGTCTGTGCATTGTTTCGAAAGTCCACATGACTGTTGTGTGGAAATTACCAGCCTTTTCAGAGATCCCAGGTGGGAGTAGCTCTAAACAGTACAAGGTGAAACCAATGTAGACATCGTAGTCTCTTTTCCCATGCACACTTTTAAGGCTTGAGCTCATCAGGTATGTGGCTAGGAAGATCTTGCTTTCAGAGCTTTTCTGGGATGGTCCTGCTGTTCCCTTTGCAAAAAGCAGCCTGAGACTAATAAGCACCGTCAGGTTGCAAGTTCAGAGAGGGCTGTCATTAGCCTTTGTGACATCATGAAATATTTATGCCCTGCGCTTTCAAGTTAATGTTGCCACGTGGGGGAAAGTCCAATTAGGCAAGGCAGCCAGGTTTGACAGTTTACAGACGGGGAAAGAGGCTAGGGAGGAAACATTGCTGATAAGCATTTCCTGGCAACTAGGGACAGAATTTCCATCTTTCGTTTCTGCACAAAATTGTAAATATATTATTGTCTATTTATTGTATGGTGAAGGGAAGGGAAGTAATGGAAGTCTGAAGGACCACCCTGCAAATCAAATAATACTTCATCCTATATACTTCAGTGTGAAGGAAAGAGGCCACTGCCCATCTCAAGTTCTAGTCCCTCATGAAAACAAACTATTCCTAAGGCAAAACCACTTGTGAATAATCGTGCACCTTGCATTAACTCTGGAGATCATGGACCAGTTCCCTATTTAAAGGAAGTCTGCTGAGACCGGCACATTGAATGCTTAACATTAAGTTTTGTGACTTAGTTTATGCATTCACATAATGAATTTGCATCTTGTTGCCGTGCATAATGTGGAGGTAGAAATTGTTCTAGCAGTGGTGCTGATAAATAAGTGAAGGGCTTAAAAAAAATTATTTTGGGAGGGCGCCAACCTGTGGGATGAAAGACTCGTTTCCTTCTTCAATATTTACATGTGTTCAGAAGCGTCACCTAAGCAAAATGCTTTGAGTCCTCCACCTACCTGCCCATTGGGTAAGCTTGGTTTTCATTACGAGGTTTTTCTTTCTTTCTTGAGACCATCAATGTTGATGGCTATATTTCCCTGCTGGCATCATTGGGCAGTGATTGACAACTTCGACAACATTCTAGTGTTTTTGAATTCAAGCTGGCTGTTGTTTTAGGTTTAAAATGGTTAGAGATACCTGAGATGCAGGGACGTGACATTTCTGTTGCCTGCCCCACCCTTGAAGTGTGACTTACCCCATCTCTGGGCCCATTTTGCTTCTGCACATTCATGATCATGTTTGCTGAGAATCCAGTTTTCCGGCCGCATGCACTTAAGACATGGAGCAATGGATCCAAACTACAAGAAAGAAGATTCCACCTAAACATTAGGAAGAACTTCCTGACAGTAAGAGCTGTTCGACAGTGGAATTTGCTGCCAAGGAGTGTGGTGGAGTCTCCTTCTTTGGAGGTCTTTAAGCAGAGGCTTGACAACCATATGTCAGGAGTGCTCTGATGGTGTTTCCTGCTTGGCAGGGGGTTGGACTCGATGGCCCTTGTGGTCTCTTCCAACTCCATGAGTCTATGATTCTATGATTCTAAGACATATACGCCCCATTTAAACATCTATGTGCAATGCATTAATGCAGCAGGTTCATTATGTGGGGCAGCTGCAATCCTGTGCTACATGCTGAGGTATAAATGGAAAACTGCTTGAATATATATATTAGAAGGCGTAAAGGTAGTATTCTGGATGCCCTGAATCTTTTATTTTCCTTCTGAATCAATGCATGGTATTCTGTGGAATCAGGATGAATAAGAGCAGGTGCTGTGAGGAGTTTTACGGTGGTTTAAAACTTTGTGCTGAAGTTTTTAAACTGCCTGGAAGAAAGAAAAAGAGAAACAATAGCAAAGGAGGAGAAGAAGTCAAGGTGTAAAATATCTGAACTGGAATCAACTAACTGGTACACTAATGGAAAGCAGGGCAAGGACTCCAAGCTAACGCATGTGTCCAGGAGGAGAAGGGGGATAGTTTTGTTGTGCTAGCAGAAATACTTGATGTTGCATTTGTCCTTATGAAGTTATGGCAAATTCAAATTGATATCTGTTTTATCTGGGAGGTTCTGTAGATGTGTGAGTTAAGGTGTGTGCAAAATGCAGCCAGTGTGTGATGTACTGAAGTGTATCAGGAAGGCAGAACAACGTTTTTGAGCAACTAGTCTTTGATCTCTCAAGACTTATCTGCTGTCTCAGTGAATCTGTGCTTCACTTAGTTTTAAAGAATTCATGTGTTTTCACCAGGTGCAAACCAACAAAGACCACAATATACATCCAGACCAGCCTCTCTATTTTTGGGGAGAGAAAGGGGGGGTTACCATATCAGCAAAGCAGCAGCAGCAATGTCAAAATTTATGAAGTTTGCTACTGGCTTTTAAAAAGAGTGTGGTGAGCCTATGGCCCTCCAGATGTTGGATTTAAACTCCCATCAACCCAGCTTGCATGGCCAGTGGTCATGTGGTTCAGAAACATATAGACAATTTTAGAATGGGCTCAAAATGTGCTGGTTTTCCTGGTGCCAGCCAGGGTGAACTGTTGAAGGAAAATGTGCTGATGGTCATGGAAGATATGAAAAGAAGCACATATCTGTCTAGTTTGGACCCAAAGTGTGAGAATTCAGCATAGATGGCACTTGGTTTCCCAACATTAGGGAACTGTTTGAAAACTTTTGCCTAATTGACAAATCATTATTTCCGGAAGACCATGCAGAGATTATGTGCCTGAAGCCCGTTCACTGGTTCAACTCATTTGCTATGATCTCAAGCTGGCATGGCTAATTTTAGAAACATATAGAATAATTTGAAATAGTTTGTGCAGATTGAGTTGCAACATTTCACACACACATGTACACACATACCTGGATAAGAGTAGTAGACCTCTCCTGGTACTCTTGCAAAAGAGGCTTTGTGCTGCCCCAGCAGTGATACTCTATATTTTATTGATTGGTGTAAGATTGCAGCCATGATAAGAAACCTTTTCTAAGAGACGAGTGTCAGAGCAACACAGGCAGCTAAGATAGGCTAGTAAATGAAATGAATGAAGGCTTTAAAAAAAAAAAAAAGCAGCACTCGAAAAATGTGGCCTAATTTTTAGAGGTGCTCAGAGCCAAGAACTCTCGGTGAAAAATCAATAGGCGTTATGGGTGCTTCGTTCTTCTGAAAATGATCCTCTTTAGCCTCTGTTATGCATTTCCCCAAGGCCCAATTATATAAAGCAAAGTTGCCTCGCCGTGTCCACGGAGGCTTCCCATCCATCAGAGGACGTTTTGTGGTGTTTTCTTCTCCACGGTCCATCAGACAGCTTCGGAGTAAAGTGAAAGCTTTTGTTTTACTCCAAGGGTTAGGGAACCATTGACAGCTTTCCAGATGCTGCTGAATTGCAGCTCCTTTCAGACCCAGCAAGAATGGCCATTGGCCAGGGATTATGGGACTTGTAATTCAGCAACATCTGGAGGGCCCAAAAGTTCCCTACACCTGCCTTGTACCACACATTCCGCCCAATGGACATGCATTCCAGTGAATCGGCTGCTGTCTCAGCTGCCAGCCTTCCCACTCCGCTAATGTTTTTGAAGGGGGCTGTTCCTTTTTAAAAATTTTATAAGTGCCACCTGATTATCATGTGCTGAGACTTATATTAGCTCCTGAAATAAATATGTTAATAATAAATAGGGCTGCCTCTGAAGATGGTTCGGAAACCTCAGCTAGTGCAGAACTGGGTGGACAGGTTTTCTCACTGGGACAAGACAGTTTAAGCATATTACACTGATCCTGGCCCAACTGCACTGGCTGCCAGTCAGTTTCCAGGCCCAATTCAAAGTGCTGGTTTTGACCTATAAAACCTTAAGAGGCTCAGGACCGGAATACCTCAAGGATGGCCTTTCCACATATAATTTGTCCCAGACTCTGCATTCATCATCTGAGACCCTTCAAGTGCCTCCTCTATGTGAGGTCTGGAGGGTGGCAAGATGGAAACAGGGCCTTTTCTGCAGTGGCTCCCCATTTGTGGAATGCTTTCCCCAGGGAGGTTCACCTGGCACCTTCATTGTATATTTGTAGGTGCCAGGCGAAAACATTCTTCTCAAACCAGCCTTTTGGCTGATTAATATTCTACAGCCTTTAAAATGTGTTTGTTGGGGGGGGGTATTGTTTTGTTTGTTTACTTGGTTTTTTTACCTTGTTTTTGTTCCGTCAACCACTCTGAGATCTTGTGATGAAGGGTAGTATATAAATTTAATAAATAATAAAATAACAATACATGAATGAATAAAAAAAGATGTTCATGCTGGCTGAAATGTGGCTTTTCTAATCAATTAACTAAATAAAGCTTTATTTGATTATGTATTCAGCTGATCAGACCAATTAAACTTTGCAGCCCTAATACATAATGTTTGGTAGTTTTTTTGTTTTTTTAAAGAAGACAAACAAACATTACAATACATTTTTCAGGACTTCCGCTTTCTGTGTGCAAAATCCACTTTCCATACACCAGCATTTTAAAAGAAAAACCTGTTTTTCGTCATGAATGGGGGGGGTGTGGAAATGCGTCCGAAGCCTAAAATAAGCTGGCAACTAGAGCAACTTATTTGTGACTTCCCTGAACAGGATCTCAGCTTTTCTTGCAATGAATTAAGATATAAATAAAGAAAATTGCTTTTGACAGCTGCAGCTGTATTTTATTCTGTCTGGGGCTGATAACAGGATCACTGCAGAAAGACTGGAAGATTGTGGAACCAGATAGGCTCCCACACTCACTTAAAAAAAAATTAAAAAAAAATTAGTGCACAGGCAGCAGATCTCGTGTGGAGCCAGTGTGGCCTAGTGATTAGTGTTGGCCTAGGACAACCTTTCTCAACCTGTGGCTCCCTAGATGTTGTTGAACTACAACTCCCATCACCCCTAGCTAGCAAGGCCAGAGCTCAGGGATGATGGGAGTTGTAGTCCAACAACATCTGAGGACCCACAGGTGGAGAACCGCTGGCCTAGGACCTGGGAGGCCAGCGTTCAGGTTCCCTCTCAGCCATGAAGCTCATTTGGGTGACCTTGGGCCAGTCACCCTAACCTACCTCACAGGGTTGTTATAGAAGGTTAACACATGGAGGACGAGAACCATGAGCTTGGGCTCATTGGAGGAAAGCTGGGGTGTAAATGTAAGCAAGACCTTCCATCCTCCCTCTATGGGCCCCCAAAGTCTTTCTTCAGAACCCCAGGGGTTTCCTTGCCTTTAGAAAACACCTGGAGAGCTCTCCATTCAGGTGACTTTAGAGCCCTTCTCCTCATCAGAGCCCTCTTCTGAATTTATAAACGCGTTTTTGAAAGGATCTAAGCAGTGAGCAAGAGCATATGGGGGGAAATACGTAAGATAAAATCAGTCATATAACAAAATTTTAAAGCATAATATTTTTTTTAAAAAAAACCTTCATTGTAGATCGCATCAACTGCAAACTATTAACAGTTCAGCTGGAGAAGTCCTGAACAAAAAATAAAGGGTTTTTTTCCCCCACAGGCATCTAAAGCACAGACTTAGTAGGTGCCTGTCTAAACGCCATGGGGACAGAGTTTCGTAAATGCAAGTGCGATAAACAGAGAGGTGCATATGGATGGGCAGGGGAGAAAAAGGTTGGCAAAATGAGACAATTGCCTCCTTTCTCCAAACTTCTCCCTGCCTAAACCGCTTTTTGCAAGCAAGCTGATGTTGGAGTGTGTGTGTGGATTCTGTTGGCAGTTGGGACAACCAGGTCGCAGCACTCGGCACACGGCCTGCAGCCTAAGGGTTGCCATTTGCCAAGCTCAGTGTGAAGTACATTGAAGAGACCATGGAGGGGGTTTCTCAAATTCATTATGGGACAAGACTCTTGCACTTTTAAAAGGTGCATAGAATCGAAGGATGCTGGCAGGTGGCAACTTCCCATGCTATAGGCCTGGTTTGCAAAGTCAGCCAGAGGGAACCTTCTTTAAAATGCACAGGGGCAAGAGGTTTTTCTCACTTGAGCTTTTAAAGGATTTCCCAGGAAACACACATGGAGGAGAACTTGCAAACTTCCAAATTGGGTAACAGAGTTCTAGGGACAGTTTTGCATATCCCTTGGGGAATTTGGGTGAAATGGAACTGCACTTTAAATAAAATACTGGCACAGGAAAATCCATTGCAGGTAGTAGTAATAGTAATAAGTGATATCCAAAGCTAGTTATACTCATAGTAGACTCATTGAAACAAATGAACCATTGATCTCAGTATATCTTAGTTGGACTGAACATTTAAATGTTAGAATCTTTTAAAAAGAAAGAAAGAAAGAAAAGAAGAAATACAAATAAATAATCAGGATTTCTGTGAACTTTTTGTTTCTGCACAAATGAAAACAGAAGCTACGTTATCCTGTCAGTTTGCTTGGCCCAGTACTGTCTACCTTTGAGTGGTTATATCTTTCCAGGTACTCAGGCAGAGATTCCTTCCCTACCATTGTTGCCAGAGATTGTTAACTAGAGGGCCCGAGAGCAAGTAAAAAACTTAAGAGAAAAGAGAAGAGGAAAAGGTGCTTCATGCTAGTTGTATCGCATCCCTGTTAGGATTTGACCTGTCTTTTGTCCTTGAAGAGGCCATGTTTCCTTATTTGTAATGAGCTGTTGGCAGTTTCCCACTGCCAGCTGCATCTCTGCGCTTGATTAAGAGAGCTTGGATCTTAGCTGTGTAATAATTCTGAGAGCCAAGTGAAAACCACTTATTAGCTTCATCGGAGCCTGTGTACACTTCCGCCAGGATGCACGGGGGGTGGGGGTGGCGAGGAACAAATTAAAATTTATAGAAGTTTGCATCACACGGGAGCCAGATTTGAAAGACCAAGCGGAGATCTGAAACAATAAGCGGAAGTGTTGAGTGCACACACAGAGAGCACCTAGCTGACCCACACACTCACACGCCGTGACCCAGTTTGCACGTAATGCTGAGCCAAACCATAGCTCAGCATGAATGAGCAATCATGTGGGTTCTGTGAGTGAAGATTGTGGCTGCAGCACTCCTTAGTCCTGCTGCTGCCACAGCTGCACTCCTTGGGGCTGAGCCATGGTTTGGCATAGTGTTACATCTGAATGCAGACTTGTGGTTTGTCTCCACCAGACAAACCATGAGTGGTTAGCCATAGAACAGCTCGTCGCAGAGCAAGACAGAGAAAAAACAACCAGAATTTTGGATGTAATGCTAAGCCAGAGTCTGGTTTAGCTCTGAGTACACTACAGTATTCTGTTGTCAAGGTAGGCATAGATATGAGTGTAATAGCACTCACCCATGTTGTTGTTTAGTTGTTTAGTCGTGCCCGACTCTTCGTGACCCCCATGGACCAGAGCACGCCAGGCATTCCTGTCTTCCACTGCCTCCCACAGTTTGGTCAAATTCATGTTGGTAGCTTTGAGAACACTGTCCAACCATCTTGCCCCTTCTCTTTGTGCCCTCAATCTTTCCCAACATCAGGGTCTTTTCTAGGGAGTCTGCTCATCTCATGATGTGGCCAAAGTACTGGAGCCTCAGCTTCAGGATCTGTCCTTCCAGTGAGCACTCAGGGCTGATTTCCTTCAGAATGGATAGGTTTTATCTTCTTGCAGTCCATGGGACTCTCAAGAGTCTCCTCCAGCACCATAATTCAAATGCATCAATTCTTCGGCGATCAGCCTTCTTTATGGTCCAGCTCTCACTTCCATTCATCACTAGTACTCTCCCATACCAAATACCAAACTTAAATACCACGTAAAAATATTTAACAGAGTAATCACACACACAGAGGGAAGTAAGCCCCAGTGTGCCAAATTTCTTCACCATCCCTTCTTGCTTACTTCTTCTGTGCTTCTCTCTGCTGTAGCTCTGGAAGGAGACTGGAGCTAGATAGCAGCCAATGGAACCCTCTTAATACTAGAGTCAGCTTTTGCTATGCTTGGGGCGAGGAGGAATGGCTTGGGAGTGATTCAGGGGGCAGCTTAAGTTAAATGTTACAGCATTAAGAAATGCTCTTGGCAACGAAGTCTGTAAGGCTGAAGCAACCTCCCCGGGGATGCAGTGGAAACTCTGTCTTCAAAGCCATTAAAATAAATTAGAACGTGCAAAGGCCTGAAGAATTTGTAACAGAAAGGCTGTCATGGTTTGTTGACCAGTGTGCATGAGAAGGATAGGATGACCACATGATCTCAGATCCAGAAATTATTTTCTTCAAGGAAACTTCATGCCCAGGTGACAGATAAAAACAAACAGCCTCATTGGGTCTTCAGCCCTTATTAAATTGTCCAATGATTTCCCTTGATTCCGTCAGTCTCCTTCACTTAAGCACATTATGCTATTGACATTTTGTGTTTTTTAAACCAGTGCATGAGCTTAATGAGCCTGTTTGATAGTCTATGAACTATCTTTTGGTTTCCTCAAAGTTAACATGGTTGGTTAGGCTTCTGCGTTTAATCCAAGATACCTCTGGTACATGTGCGCTAAGCATAAAGTGAACATAGGTTTCCTGTTGTGGGCCTGCTCTGCAGCTTCTATTGCGTAGACACCACAGCCCAAGTCCTACAATCCCCATTTCCTTCAGCTGCTTGCAATCCTTATTGCAAGTTCTGCAATCCCCTCATTCATCAGTTTCTTATTTCTTTTTTCCCTAGGAAGGAATTTGATGTCACGTTTTCTGATCATTCCACCAGTGCAAGCATTTTTGCTTGCCAGACAGAACAGTCAACCTTCTCTTCCCCCTGCATACTGTTCTGGGGGGTTCTCCTGACCTCTTCCACTCCCTGCTAAATTCAGGGTGGGAGACATGCAGGTGGAGGAAAGAGTGGAGTTCCCTGTTGGAAGGTGGAAGGCCTTCCGCAGGGCTTTTGCTGGCAGGATCTATTAACTGAATCCAGTCCCTCGTCTACTACTTCCATATCAGAATTCTACATAAAATCTACTCGGCAAGGCAGTCATTTTCCCTTATCCTTTACAAACAATTAAGATATTATCCAATGTTTACTCCAGGAAGCCATGGCGTGTGTGGTATTGAAAAGATTGTTCCCTTGACACCAGTGTTAGAACCTCATATATATAAGTTAGGGGGCTGAGTGGCTACTTAAACCAGGGTTACAGTCACCAAAATGGAATGTCTAGTTGCCATTTTGGGGGCAGAGAGCTCAAAAGTCATATTTTTCAATATGACTTTTTGGTTACTGAAATTCATTCTGACTGTGCAGATAAAATATAACTGATAGAATTCTACAGGATGTGTTGCCAGTGTGTGAAAACAGGCAAGATCCAGTGATCCCCAGGAATGCACCTCCAGGTGGTGGGGACATCGTGCGCCGTCCTGGCACCTGGGCATCTTGGTTACAAGTGGCTGATAGCCAGGTGCAAAATGGACCTTGGGCCTGGCAAATTTCTAACGCTGCTCAACACCACAACATCCTATGAAACATACAATGCAAGTAGGAAATGGCACTATTCAGGGACCTCTTAAAAATGGCACCACCATTAGGAGAGGTGTGAGTTCTAGTTCCATCAACACCATATATTTAAAGCATCTGGCTTCCTCTGAACAATCCAGGGAGCTGTCATTTACCCCTCATGGAGCTCCCGTTCCCATGATTTTGGGGGGGAAGTCATGTGCTTTCAATGTTTAGTGTGGATGTAGCCTTTGTCCCCGGTGGCTGGTGAGCACGTGAAGCTAAATTTTGATGATGTGTCAATAAAGATTAAATAAAAATGGAAAAGGAAAAGTTGACTGGGTATCCTACACCTCCACCCCAGGACCATTTCCTCATAGCTGTGGTTTTAGGGATCCGGCATGCTCTTAAGCTCAGCTGGATCTTGCAGTACTCACAGGTCAAGTGCTTCTGCCTTTGCCAGTCCGTGATGCATCATTGCAGGACTAACAAAGACTCTGCTGTGTGCATGGCCAGCTTCCTGTGTGGGTGGGGAAATACCTGCCATATTACCCACCTTCTTGATTGTACACTCCAGCAGATATCATTTGGCTGTGCCCCTTCCATTGATTCAGTTCCTTGCTTCAAACGTCTTAGCCTTGCATAATGGGTCCCCTAGCCTTTTCTGTTAATTCAAATGTCTGGTGCAAAGCAAATGGGTGAGATAGTTCTGCCCCTTCTCCGTTAACAATAATTAGATGTGGTCCAATTTTCCCTCCAGGAAGTCCTGATACCTATGGGGAAAAGAGGACTACAGAAAGACTTAGGGCAGCTAATTAAAGTGTGGTGAGGGGAGGGGGGCAAAGCCCTGGAGCTGGAAACATTACAAAGAGTTTTCAATCTACATAAGGCAAGCAGTATTTAATTATATACAATTAAAACATTATATTTCAAACCCCTGAGAAACGGCGGGCTTCAAGAGACCACTTACTGTGATTGAAAAGGTGCTAATGAACTCTAGAGACTCCAAAGGCATCAAAACTACATAGTGAACTTATTAAACTTGATCTGGAAGATAAATCTAATTACCGGGATAAATTGAAGAGGGCAGGGGGAAGAGAGACTTCAGATAAGGAGATCTCCCTAGAGCTCTAGGTTCTTATTAGAGCAGTTTGAAATATCTTGTAGAAAAGAGCAAAATAATAATAAAAATAATTTTTAAAAAGATTCTTTTTGCAGCTGCCCGGAAGACTTTTTCTTTTTAAACTCCAAAAGCTGTTTTGCTGAAGTTCAATGCAGCCTTGCAAATAAACCACAGAAGTTACTAGCCTGCAAAAAGCAATCGTTTACTAGTTCCTAAGTGGCCAGTATTCTGCACTTCCATGTTTACCTCCTTCCCCAGCCAGCTTGGAAACCGAGCAGACTGGCAGGGTCTCTTCCTTCACCAATTTACTGACTTGCCTGCACGAAATTCCTCGTCACCCATGGCTACCAGGTGAGTTGTCAAATACAAGGCTGTTAAAACATGAGGAGAGTAGCACCAGGTAGCAGTTATAGAGACAGTGGTCATATAAACACCCACCAATGGATGTGTACATACAGCAGATTCATTGTGACAGCGCTCACCAGTATCAAGTACACCCACCTGTTCTGTGCTGCTGCTGATGACACTTTTATCAACATACGAGTACCAGCACCATATAGTTTGTTTACCCCCAAAATGCACTGCTTACATATAAAGATAATGGACCTCTAGCACATGGCAGAGTTTCAAGTTTGCAACGGATGTGCTAGTAGAAGCTTGTTGTGCAACAATTCATTCATGCACAATCTGTTGGGCAATCATCTTCAAGTTGTGGTTTCACTTGTGGTTTCCTTGGTGCAATGCATGGCTCTTGTTGCGCAGTCAAGTCAGAACAGTTTTCCATCTAGTTCACCATGGTCTACACTGAGTGACTCCTCGGGACTTCAGACCAGGATCTCTCTCAAAGCTACTTGGAGGTGCTGGGGATTGAACCCAGAACAGTTTACATGTGCTCTGCCACCAAACCGCAGCCCATTCCCCTTAAAGCTTGACTCTTAAGGCTCCATACACATCGCTGGTTTAAAGCAGAGCTAAGTTGTCCTGTTTCGCAATGCAGATTGAAGCTGGGTTGTGGTTGGGGGCCAGAATGTGCCAAAATGCAGTGTTTTGTAAGAAATGATATGAAAAGATAAGAATTGTGGTTAACTTGGTGTGCACACTGCTTACAAAACCAGTGGGTGGGGTGTACTGGGTGCAGAGTAAACTGGAGTGTGTTTTAATCTTTTCTTTTCTTTTTTTTGCTTAGGTAGAATTAATGTTAATGGTTTATAATGGTTTGTATTGATAAACATATTACAGTGGTACCTCAGGTTAAGTGCTTAATTCGTTCCGGAGGTCCTGAAGCACCACTTTAGCTAATAGGGGCCTCCTGTTGCCGCCAGAGCACGATTTCTGTTCTCATCCTGAAGCAAAGTTCTTAACCTGAGGTAATATATCTGGGTCAGCGGAGTCTGTAACCTGAAGCGTATGTAACCTGAAGCGTATGTAACCCAAGGTACCACTGTATCTGCTTAGAGGTTTTTCTGCAATCAAATGGTGTGTGTTTATTCTATGATCTATATCTATATAATGGGTTGGTGTGTCTGGCTGTTAACCAGAAGGTTGGTGTTTCAAGCTCACCCAGGGACTGCTGTGAGCAGGATTCTTGCATTGCAAAGGGTTGGACTAGATGACACTCAGGGTCTCTTACAACTAAGCTACTATGATATATACATGTATATAGTTTTGGGGGTTTTTAAGCACACACAGACACACACAGCCTTAGTCTGCTTAATAGGGAACAGGATACAGGACAATGGGAACTCTGTTAATAATGGCTTTCATCCATGATCCATGTAAACCTGGTGTCTTCCAGATGCTTTGGATTACAACTCCAAACTCTAAATTAGCAGATTTTTTGGGGGGAGGGGAAGCTTAATTTTTCTCCCTATCTCCCAGGGAAACAGATAAATTGAACCCAAGTGTCTCATCTTGCTATACCAGCAAGGTATACCTGCTGTCACCTGAACAGCAGGTAACATATAGGTCAGATCAATAAGCCGGCTTGCCTGTTTAATATCATAGCAGCAGACAGCCTTCTGTGGGAAGCAGCAGCCAATTTTGTTTGAAGTTGAAAGGCATTGCTTCTTCTTGCGTAGTTCCTCTTTTAAATGAGCTATTTAAAATCCATTTGGAAAGAGGTTGTTCTGAGTCAGTTATCCTATAGGTTTTATGGTTAACAGACACAAGTGGCTTCCTCTTGCGGGCTTTCCATATGAGACAAAGCCATCATTTGCAGAGACCCGAATTTAGACAAAGGAGACAAAGGCAAGGAATTGGCTCAGTATAATAGAGAAATGATTTCACATCTTGTTAAAAAAAGAAGAAGGTCGGAGCAGGAAAGAGGATAGCAAGCAGACAAAAAGCTCTTATATCAGCATTTGTGATTTCAACACAAACCTTGTGGGCTTTTGTCCACACACACACACACACACACACACACACACACACAAACCTTCCATCCCTGGAACCATGTGATTAGGTGCAAAACAATTCTGCCTTTCGTTCATAAGGCAGGTGCATTGCTATGGCTGTGGAGAAGCGCTAAAAAGAACGTTTATTAAAATCTAATGCCTCACTGAGGACAGTCCCATACCCTGCAAGCGTCCCAGAAGAATTGGGACATCCTGTTTTTTCCTCATGAAAGGACAGCAGCCATTTTGGGCACCATGATCTCGCATGATTTTATGCTATGACACACACACACACACCCTGAAAAAGTGCTTTTTTTCAGGGCCACAAGCACCCCAAAACATGTGTTTTGCGTGGCATGTATTTAAAAGTTAGGGGGAAATACTGGCATGAAATCACACAAGATCTCAGTGGCCAAACCCCCCCCCCAAAACCCCGGGAAGATGGTGTCCCACAAGATGGCATCCCAGTTTTGGCCTTCAGTGTGTTGGAGGGTCTGTTGTCCCTGTGACATCACGATAGCTCCCCTCTAGGCCTCAGGTTTGGGCCCATAAATCTTCTGGGTCTAGGATGTTCCTGACCTAGCAACTGTAGTGTAGGCACTGCTGGTAGGAGGGCCAGGGGGCCGACCCCGTATGAAGGAGTTTCCCCATGTTTTAGGGAAGGCTTGTAGCTCAGAGTTAGAGCACCTGCTCCCCGGTTCGGTCCCCAGCATCTCCAAATAGTTCTGGGAACATTCTCTGCTGTCAGGGGAGACAAATGCAGCACTAGATAAAGCACCTTCCTATGTTCCTGTGTTCGATTCATCAGGATTATTTCCACTGGACACTTGATAGTTCAGGGTTCTGTGGAATGGGTTGGGGCAGGCAGGAGTCAAACCGCAGCAGGCCCCAGTCCTTCACACTCAGTGTTAGAAACTGAGATATGAAAGCTAGGAGTTTAAATGGCACCTTTATCCTAGGTTATGGGCGCAACGGCAGAATGTCTAAGCACACTTTTTTAAGAAGAAGAAGGATTACAAAGCTGAAAATGAATGAACTGCAGCTAAAATATTATGTTCATTTTTCACAGGGTCCAGTCCTTCCCCTGGCCACCCCCTTAATATTTTTAAGAGGGTCTCTTCTCCAGTCTTCAGAGAGTAGCTGGAAGTGGGGAAGCAGAAAAAGGTCTTCCTTTCCTTCCACTCTGCAGTTTTAACCTGAAATCTTAAATGCAGTACTGCCACCAAGAGCTCAGAAACTGCTTGCACCAAGGAAATTCCTGGTCGCAAAATGCGCCTAGAACAATGGGAGTTTCGAACACTGTTAACGCTACGAATGCTAAGATAGGTTCCTAATCTTGCCTTTTAATTCCGACTGCAAGTCCTGTATTTTCCCAGATACTGCCCATTCCTGATTTGGCTTATGAGAGCCAGCAGACTTTTCTTAGCAGCCCTGTTTTGCACAAACCCGCTGCCGCCCCCCCCAAAAAAACATACACCAAGTTTTCGAAATGTGCATGTGTGTGCTGCTGTTTGCTGTTGTTTTGGTGCATTCATATTGTTTATTAAGCTTTTAAGGATGCCTGGGGCAACCCAGCCAGATCAACCCAGCCAGATCAGTGCCACCTCAAGGTTGAAAGTCTGAAAACTGCTTTGTAGAAGGAGTGCTGGTGGTGGTGAGGAGGGGGAATAAAACACACAGACATGCAACACAGATGATATAGAGCGATTCATGTGGCAGGAGAGAATAAGGGGAGGGTGGAAAGCGTACAGATAAGGCTGGAGGAATAAAGAGCAAAAGCATGGCAGTGAGCCTTGGTGACTCATATCGCTACTACCATTCCCCAATGTGCAGTGAACTTTGCTGGGGTGTGTAGGCACCTTCTCTTCTTGTGCAAATGCTTCCTTGCTCTGTTTTCCAAGTGAGGGGTTCAGAATTATAAGGTTTTTTAAAAAAAAGAAGGAAGGAAGGAAGGAAGGAAGGAAGGAAGGAAGGAAGGAAAGAAAGAAACAGCAGCAAAAGATTGAAAATGCCATTTTGTCAAATCTCTCCCGAATGAACTTGATTTCTCAGCCTCAAATTCATCTGGCTGCCGTTGGAGAAGTTTCAACAGCAGCGCTGCTGTTCTTCCAGGTAGACCAGGCATCAGCACACAGCATAGAATCCTAGTGTTGCAAGGGACCACAAGGGTCATTTAGTCCAACCCCCATTTGCCCAATGTGGGGCTCGAACACACGATCCTGTGATTAAGCATCTCATGCTGACCAAAACATGTTAGGGCAGGTGTAAGAGCTGTTCAACAGTGGAACGGACTCCCTCGGGGAGGTTGTGGACTCTCCTTCCTTGGAGGTTTTTAAGCAGAGGTTGGATGGCCATCTGTCATGGATGCTTAGTTGAGATTCCTGGATTCCAGGGGGTTGGACTAGATGACCCTCGGGGTCCCGTTCAACTCCACAATTCTGTGATTCTATGAAATGCTGGAATCCACTGCAGCTGATGCCAACCTCCCCACTTTCTAATTTCTCTCTCTCTCTTTTTGATGGTCCAGCACTATAAAGAGAAACAGTGACAGGTGTCTGCAGATTTGCTAGCTTTTCTTTTCTCTTAAACCCCTGGGGCTCACACCAGGCACTTTTTCATGGTCCTGTCACACCCAGTCCTAGCCCCATTTATAGA